ACCCATTTCAACTTTGTTGGATCTGATACTGACTGTTCAGCCCCGAAATGGCCGTCACCGTGCAACTGCCCATCCTCTCCGTCAAGAAGAACCCCCAGAACCCTCTGTACACTCAGCTCGGTGTCCTGACCAAGGGAACAATCCTCGAGGTCAATGTCTCCGAGTTGGGTATGGTCACCACCAACGGCAAGGTCGTCTGGGGTAAATGGGCCCAGGTTACCAACAACCCCGAGAACGACGGCTGTGTCAATGCGTACGTATCAACTCTATTTCATCAGTATCAATATATACTAACATTCATCTTTACCAGTGTCCTCCTTGTTTAATCGCTTGTTTCGGCATGACTACTAAAACCGTCTACCTTGCCATTACATCTTGACTTCGATACCATTGGCCCTTATTTGTTTTCGTCTATCTCGTGTTTATAATTGATATTTTGGATGGTGTTAAGGCGCTGAAATGTTATCTCACGTTGTTCATATACGTCATCTAAAAAGTCGACTAGAGTGCTCAGGTACCCTTTAGATAGAGTTACGAATCTTCAATTGACTGCATTCTGCACTTTGATTCTACCTTGCCTTCTGACCTATAACCGTACTACATCATACTCGCTCTTGCAAAACAAAAAAGTACCCTGCGTAATGAACAATTAAATCAATATTTCCCGCTCAAACACCAAAACCCATGCAGGAATCAATCCCAATGCAATCAAGTTAATCAATCAGTCAATCGTACACAAAACATGCAGCACAGCGCTGAATCGCTCTCAAAAAAAATGTAATGGAAAACCAAAGCCCTAGAGCTGCAAAATATAAATCCAAGAAAGAAAATATCTGACACAGACAGACAGAGTATCAAACAGAAAAGAAAAGAAAAAGAGCAGACCAGACATGAACGCCAACCCATTCGTCGGATCATTCAGGATATCAAGAGGTTATTATACAAAGGAGAAAAGGTAAAGATAGGAATTTGAGAACGAAGGGAGAAATCGGTATCATCACCGGCCAGCTTCCTCTTCCAAGGCAGCTTTGATCTTCGCAAAGAACCCAGCGGGCCACGTAGCCAGTTCCTCTTCCTTGGGAATACCACGCACCCTGCAGTGATTTACGACGTTGACCAGAATCCGGCCGAGCATGTCCTGGCTTATCGGAACTGCACCTTCCATTTGTGCATCGGGGTATAAGAACGGGTCCCGCTGACCGAGGAGCTCGTCGACTGTTGGCCGGAGAGTCTGGTCACGCTGCAGGCACCTTTTTAATGTCCGGATGAGTCCGGGAGGGACGGGGACGCCTCCGACTCCGAATTCAGGGAATTCGATTTGGACCCTCGGATTGGGGATGGCCATAATACGTTCGTAGTACTTGGCGATTTTGGCGAAGGGGGGATGGCCGTAGACCATTTTGTAGAGGATGCAGCCTAAACTCCAGACGTCGCTGGGTTTGCCTAGCTTCATCATTTTGCCGACGCTAGAAGGTAGGCCTAGAGAGGCGTTTGAGTCGACAAGGGCTTCTGGAGACATGTAGTTAGGTGTTCCAACTTGTTGCTCGCGATGGACGTTGACGGTGTTGTCCTGGATGGCGTTGGCGATACCAAAATCAATCAATTTGAGTCTACCTTGAACCAAGAGGAAGTTGGCGGGTTTCAGGTCGGAATGGACGACATTATGTTCGTGAACTGCGCGAACACACTCGAGCATTTCTTTCCAATAGTAGCGAGTGAAGTTGATATCCAAAGTAGCGTCGTCGGCGTTCAAACGGTATGCGAGAATCTTTTCCAAATCAGATTCTCCGATCTCCATCAGGACGCTGAGGGTGTGCTTGTCCGAGTTAAGCTCCCAGTCAAAAAGACGAACAACTCGATCCAAGTTCTCCAATTTTTTTAACAGGTCGATTTCACCCTTGTAACCAGCCAAAGTCAACGGATCGACATCTTCCAGGTTGACTCGCTTGAGTGCAAAGATCTTATAGTTTTCCGCCATAACGCGGTACACCCGCGAGCTTCCACCACGACCAATGCAATCAAGTCGTGTGAACGCCTTGTGGTTGATGGAAACTTGGTTGCGCTTTCTGCGAGATTGCGATGCTGCCGCTGCTCCTCCACTGGCGGTTGCGGTGTCAAGAACCGACATCTTCGGGGGTGGCGGAGCTGGTCGATGAGGTGTGTTGTTGCTGCGAGCTGCAAGGATCTTCCTATGCGAACTACTAGCTGGTGTTTCGCCGTTCTCTTTCTTCTCTTCTCCGTAAGCAACAGACATCTTATCCGGTTTATCCAACATATTGGACCCCTGTGGTCTGGTTCGTCTGAATGTCGGTGGCGGCTCATTTTCTTGATCCTGTGTTGCAGGTATTGACGGTAGTGGAGGGATTTTGAATACTGGCTGTTCTCTGGCGCCCGAAGACTTGGACGAATACTCAGAAGACGATCCAGGTGTAGATTTTGAATGTGACCCATAAGACTTAGGCGAAGACATTCTTTCGTAAGGCGCATCATCTGATGCATTCGCAGGCTCCAGAGAACGATGTCGGCCATCTTCACGCGAACTCGGTTCTGCCCATGTTACTCTAGGTGATGACCTCGTATCTTTGTAGCGGTATTCAGCATTGTTGTCGTGTGCCGATTCGTGGTTTTCTCGCTGATCGTCTTCTGGGGATAGATAACTCGGGCCTTCTTCGTTCTCTTCGCTCTGGCGCCGGAGCACACCGCGCCTTGCGGGCCCATTTAGAAAAGTACCAGTGAGCCTTCCAACTCTCTTCACACGCAGAGAGCTGGCTCCAAGGTCTTCCCCGCCACGCGACCGGAGAACAGACGAAGTACCAGCGCGCTGCATGTAATCATCATCGTAACGCATCTTGCGCTCTTCCTCCAAGCGCTCTGCACTTCCATGTTCGTCACTGAAGCTTCTCTCCACAGATCGCCTTTGCGACGGGGATATCGATGCTGGTGACCGTGTATGACTGGCGATGCGCACACTGCGTTGTCTGGGAGCGGGCGTGATGAAGTCATTCCTTGCGTCAGAGTCTTGTTGCTCACTGCTCGACAGTACAGACCCTTCCCTCCTAGATCGAGAGGACATAGCCGAGCCTATGCGAACAACGCGCGGGGCGGGGCTACCGGCTGATCGATCTTGCGGCGATTCGAGGCGTGGCGACCGCGACAAGCGTCGTCTCTCTTGTCTCTCTTGGCTTACGGCTGCTGTTGATGCACGGGCTTCTTCTGGGGTCTGTTCCCTCCCACCGATGTGGTTACGGGGAGAAGAACCCAGGCCATCTTCGTCGAGAAGTGCCTTGACAGAGGCACTGAATTTCGGCTCCGGGACCTCATCATCGGAGCTGTCGCCGACAGAATATTGCCTGGGTGCCGATATCCCATGGTCCCGGGAATTCTGGATTGCTGAAGAGGTGCGTCGGGAACCAGTTCGAGAAACTGTGGCACGAGATAATTGTCGGGTAGAGGGTTGACGATGGAAGCCGCTGTTGTATGCGGCCGAAAGGGAGTTGGGAGAGGCCATTGTTAACGCGAATGTCGTAAAAGAAGTGCTACATGGATAGTCGGTGTAAAATGTAAGGCCTCGTGTATTTTACCCCCAGGCAATGGCCCTTGCGAAGCCGGGGTTGTCGTCGCGAATCGGTGGTTTGATTGTTTGATAGACTTCTGGAGCGACGTTTGGTTTCGCGGGTGGCTGGATGGTGGTCACGTGTGGTCCGTTGCCTGGGGTGACGGAGGTCACAACAAACTAATGTGACGCAGTATGAGAGCATCGAGATGCATACGGTTGCATTCTTCGTTGGCCATTGGTCATTTGACCATCATTTGGCTTGATCCCTGCCGTATACTTAGCAGCATACAATGTACATTTGCAGTGCAAATGCTGTGCTTAATGCTGTGCTTTGATATTGTGCTCGTACCTCATATTTCGTAGTTGCAAAGCATACGGAGTAGATGGGATGAACGGATGAATCATTGCTGCTTGAAATAACTATATTTTGATGGAATTCTTCAGTGCTGTTTTACTAGAGACCTGCATATTTTCATTTACAATTAGCATTTTTATTGTTGTGGCGTCCAGAGCTTTCCTCGGTGCTCCGATATATATCAGACTACACAGGCCATTATGCACAACATGGTATCGAAGCCACCACATCATTATCTAGATCCAACAAGAAAGAGAACAACCATGCAATAAATTCACGAAGAAATTTAATGTCACTGCCTTCTCATGTCAGCTAGAGAACTATATAGCGACGAAATATTGCATGATACACATGCGCAAGAAGCCATTTAATTGATGCCTACCGCTATCAGAAGACCAGGGACGAGAGATGAGTGTCAACCATGACAATAAGAAATGATACAAAGATAGGCTAGGACGCTGAATATGCAAATTGATCAAGCATGGCGTTCTAAGCATATGTATTATCATCAAGTATCAGAGCGCTGATATCATTCTTCTACGAAGTACAAATCCCAACGAGTCCGACAATTCACCTGTGCTTAACTGAACTGTCCTCTTCCGGAGGCAATATCGTAGGATTCGCACAAGTCTATCTGCGATACCGTTTATGTAGAGCTGCACTCGGAGGTAGTAGATACTCAGCACGACGGACAACGACGACATCCAAACAACCAAGTACATTAGTAGTACATCACGGCTACTCCGGAGACATATCGGAACCGCGAATTGGGAAGTACCAAGAAAAAACCACCATTTCAGAGATATGCCATTGACTGGCCGAAGATCATGTTCTCGTGCTGAGATGTAGAGTATCGCGCAGAGAAGCGACGCGGAGACGCAGGTCGTGAGCAGGAAGATTGTGAGGAGTAATTGCAGCAAAGAGCCCGAGACGCAGCAAAAGACCGTGGAACGTTTGGAAATGTAACAGCAGTTGAGAGAAAGCGACACACGTGCATACAGCCATGGACTATTTGCCGAGACCAAGCAACAATGCTCAGCTCGCCATCTCACTCTACAATCCGACCATCTGATACTGGCAGGTATAGTACGGAAAACACCCGAGTATACACCGGGTGTCCTGGAGACTCCGAAGTATCCAAGACAGCCCTGCCTGTAAACAACCACAGAGCAGCAATTGAGCAAAGCTGTAAGACAGAAAAAATATGCTTCTTTTCCTTTCTCTTTCCCCCTCATCTTCAGATCGCTGTCAGAAAACTAAACCACCTTTGGCAACACCTGACTCGGGCTCGTCCGATCCCATGGTTACTATTATTACTCTGAGACATGGCCGGAAAAATTGGGATATTGCGCCCGGTTTTCGGAACACATTTACGGAGCCATTGTAGGAAAAAGTATGCATTTTTATTCTTGAAGCCAAGAAAGCCCAAAAGGAGGACTCAACTGGAGTTAAGTTTCGGCGTGTCTGGCTAGAAGATTAGAATTTGAATTTCTTAGATCCGAGTACTCCGTATTGAGGGCAATAGTTCTGGTCGTATGTGGACTGGCGGAACGAGTACGAGGTTGTTGTGATGAGCTGCTTGTTTTTGTACTTCTGCTATAGCGGCTATTCACAGTGTAGTTAATTTGTACGGATATTGTAATAAGCGATCGAGATGCTTCGATTATCGAATCTTGCAAGCTGAGAGCACAAAAGTGTGGACACTCGGCGAGTGCCGCAAAAATGAGACGTCGAATTGGTTGGGCTAAAAAAGAAAGCATATGGCTCGACTAATCATATCGTGCATCATGTGACTAGTCAAAGTAAGCAGTGGATAGCGAGATTAGATGCTGGTGTTTCCTTTTACGCCGTATTTCTGTTTGAGGTGCTTATGGCTCGATAACCGAATCCTGTTTTTTGCTGGTAGGGGATAGAAGCACGAATGTAATATAACCTACGAGCACTAGCAAACACTATACGAATAGTCACACCTAGCAAACTGTAGCTGCTTTGTATGCAGAGCTAGTGAAATGTCACTTCGCACGGGCTGTCAGGGAACATTTGAGTAATAATCCAGTTAGCGAAGCTGCATGGGCCTAGACCTAAATGGATTTGGTTTTACCGCGACGTGTTCCATTGCTCCTGATAGTTCTTTGGGAGCTCGCGAGAGATGGTTCTGGACAGAATAATAGTCCGGATGGGAACCATGGAAGCGAGGCCACTTTGCCCCGTAGCACTCTGCAGCATTGGTATGTTTTCCAATGGGTCTAGAGCAAGCGTCAATATATTCGGAAACAAGCGTAAACTATCTCCAACCCGAGACCAGACCGAAGTATTCTGAGCAGGCATCCAGAGCCATGGCAAATGCACAAACTGCACCGTAAACTGGAGATTTGGAGATCTCCCGGCGGACATCCTCCGGTTCGTGTTGCCACGGTTCGCATTTAGTAAATGGTGGTTTTGAATAAATTGACATGTTGCCCCCGGGAGACTCGGTAGTTCACTGGCGTAGATTTGGTGGGAGTACAGAGTAGACAAGCGAGGGATTTTCTGGCGGACGTCCCAAGTAAAGTGAAGTGGAAAAGTGTACTCCGCAGTTCGTCCAGAGGCATACAGGGAATCGCAATGAGATCATTCACTGAAATGGCAAAAGCAGACTGTTTCATACTGGACCAGGCCGTGATCTGGACCAGCAAAATTTAGAAGCACATCGAAGAAAGTGATACTATCCAAAGGTCATTGTACAGATTAGACGGTCAGCTAGCCAGCCTTAGAATCCTTCTGGGCCAGATCTCAACTAAATGGGAAATAGATCTGCCATGAATCGATGTATAGGAGCTTGAATTGCATATCATAGCGAGGCTTCTGCTACACGACACGGTCCAGATTGAGTCACTTCGTGCTCTGTAAACTGATAGTCAGTCTACATCAAGGATCCCTGTCGACAAGAATACAAGTAACAATGGCAATGGGCCAAAACATTAACAATCCACATTATTGCATATCTGAGAAATCTCTCACTGGGCCCGACCTCTGCATTTTCCACGAGAGGTAATAACTCGTCTGTTTCTGAGTGACCCGGCCCGAAAGCTTAAGCAACGATTTGAAAACATTACATTCGAATTGTTTCGAGAAAGGTGATTCTCCATAGATCGCCAGGGCTGGAGTCGTTCTCTCTGTCTTTTTGTCCAGGTCCGGATGAGCCCCGATCGGGAGATCGCGCACACGGCCCAACTGCAAGTGATGAAACAAGGACGCCATAAACTGACTCTGACGGCTGTCCCAGAGTCGAATAACCTTTCCGAACTTTTAACGGGGCGGTGGTTGTTTGGGAATGTTTAGCCTGTTCTTTTCTTGGACACGGAGCGATATATCAAAGTGTGCCTCAGGAATAAATTAGTCAGACACACTACTGCAGGAACACCTGAGCTGGGAAGGGATCATCGCCAGACCGCCTTCAGTAATCTTCCCACGCTGTCAGAGCTTTCTCTATCTCGTATATGCTGCCACCGTGTACGAGATATGCATCCTGCAACTCGGAAAGAAAAATAAAAGAGTAGCAATACAGAAAAGCAACGGTTACTAAACCGTGTTGCCCGTTCAAAAGTACCATGGATGGAGCCGCAAGCTAAGTGTTTGTTCCTGACTAGCAACACTGACTAATCCCGGCTTACCCCCTTAGATCCACCCACTGGCGAAATTTCGGTCGACTTTCTGGTTCGAGTGCTCCATATTTGGGATCATGAAATAATAACAGCCCAGCAAAAGAAACATACGGCTACGTATCATAACTGTGATTGCCATTCGAACTCTCAGGGTCTTGTCCGTACTAAACTGGAGGATATACACGCTGTAGTCGACTTAACAATATTGATATTCATTATTCCCTGCAATACCACTACTGCACTACGGCAGTCACGGTCTCATCACAGTGGACGGACTGAGATCCTAGCATACGGACTATCCTCTGTCAATTCCGGAGGATTCCCGTGAGATTGATCTTTCCGGTCAAGAAAGATCCCGAAGCGAAAAGAAGCACCAGGCGTGTTTCGTCTTTTTTTTATCGTCAACCTGACTCTTCTGAATACATACTACGGAGTACAACAGCGGCGATGATAGAATCTTCAGTTGATGGATCTTTTCTTCGGAATGACATACCACAGCCCCCCGACACCCTTGAGGGTAAAACAACCGGCTTGCTGATCGTTCCGTGGTTCGTACTCGGCGAGAGAACGCGGCAGACCCGGTTCCAGATCTGCGTGGGCTCTTTCCAAACTCAGGATAGACCGTTGTGCTGCCATTGGCCGGGTCGAGTCTGTCTCCTTTTTTTGTTTCTCGACGGAGCGTACACTGCAATAGCTATCTTTACTCCATTCGGAAACCGTTGATGACCGGGGGGTGAGAGTCTAAGGAGAAAGTTGTTTCCCACAACCGTCTTTCGGGGCCCACTGCCAAATTATTACCACGAGGTCAGTCACGAAAACATACGCCCCCCATTCTGTAACAATATTCTCCGTGCCTATGCTGATTCTTGTATTGTCTCGTCATTACATGTATTATTATGTACGAGTAGTTTATCGTTATGTACTGACCGGTCCTGACCATGGAAGACGGATTCTCAATAATGGCATCCGGGAGTCGAAATGAAGCCGGCCTAGAATTCAATCAAAGAGATTCTTGTTCCTCTTGCCCCCTTTCTATGGATGTATTGGTGAGCAGGTTGCTTCTACGAGCTCTCGTATATGCGCGTTAATTACAGAACCGAGCACTATTCATTGAACTAACCTTATTACGACAGGCTGGAGCCCTCCCAAGGACGCTGCCATTACTCAAAATACTGGCGGAATGGAACCCCCCGTAACTCGAAATAGAACTCTCGTCCGCTTGTTTCGGATTGTTTCCACATCCTTTTTATTTATTTTATTTTGTTTTTTTCTGGACGGAGAACAGCCACTGGCAGTTGAGAGATCCACCGGTACCTGAACCTCGAATGAAGGAAGATCCTGCCTTCCTCGATCAGCAATGGATGGACACTTTCTGAGTCTTTCTGTGTGGCTCTGGGTCTTAGGGGGAGTGGATACTTCCCAGACTGGGGTATGGTCTCCATTTCCCAAGTGATGGCCCCGGCACCAGGAGAAAGAAGCCCTCAGGGGTATATAAACCTCGACGAAGATCTCTTTTCTTCGACCTTTGTCAAGCTCTCTGTCAATCGCTACATCTTTAAGTGTTTGTTGTTTCTTTTTTGTTTCTTTTTTTTTTTTTTAAACCAGTCTGTCGTTAAACCACTTTTTGGCTGCTCACAGCCATTATTCTTTCTTTTCTATCCTTCTTTCTTGATAGACTACGCCTTTCCGGCCTATACATTCGTTCTACGCCGATTGACTACTGCTTGAAATCCCTCGTTACAAAATGCGTTCGAACAACCTTCTCATGCTCGCCGGTATGGCGAGCACGGCTCTCGCCTTGCCAACCGACATGGCCATGGACCGTCGTACCGTTGGCCTCGATATCGATCTCGATGTTAGCCTGAACTTGGGTGGCCTCCTCAGCGGCATCCTTGGCGGTGGCCAGGATCAGAGCCCCGCTAAGCTTCTCGACGGAATCCACGCGCACGCCGCTGCGGCCCTCCAAGCTGGTGCATTGGGTGTTAAGGCTGGTTCCGTTCACGCCAAGGCTCGCACGGAGCTTGCCGCTTGGTTGCGCGCTGATGTTGGTGTTCACCTTGATGCCTCTCTCCGCTCTCCTCTCCTCAAGTGGGCTACTGGTGGTGACGGCGACATCCTCGATGTCGACGTCTCTGCTGGTCTCTCCGTTCTGAGCCCTCACGCTGCCGACGTTGCTGCCAAGGGTGGCCTCGTTGTTACCCTTGACGGTATCCTTGGCGCCGCCGACATTGAGGCCCAGGTTGTCCTGAGCGCCTCGCTCCAGGACAAGCTTGCTGCTTTCCTCAAGGGCTCCGGTGCCGCCAACCTTGGTGCCGACGTCAAGGCTGGTCTCCACCTTGCTGCTGGTGGTGGTCTCGTTAGCAGCATGAACGCCGACGTCAAGGCTGCTCTCCAGGCCTACCTCAACGGCCCCAAGGTCACCCTTGGTGCCTCCATCAAGGTTGCTCTCCTCGCTTGGTTGGAGGGCAAGACTGCTGACGGTGTTGTTTCCCTTGGCAACATCCCCGCTGGTGGTCTCACCACCATCTCCGTTGGTGCTGACATCGGTGCCCGTGTTGGCGCTGACGGTATTGCTACCGCCGCCGCTAAGGCTGGTCTCGGTGCCTTCCTCAAGGCTGACATCGCTGCTGACCTCGACGCTGACGTCAAGGCTGCCCTTGAGCTCCTTGTCAACGGAAAGGCCTCTTCTGCTCTCGACACTAAGTCTCGCACTGCTCTGGTTAAGTGGCTCTCTGGTTCCGACGTCTCTCTCGGTGTTGAGCTTCAGGCCGTTGTTCTGCTCTGGTTGTCTGTTGGTGTCAAAGTTGACATCAGCGTCAACCTTGGCGGTGGCCTCATCGGAAACCTGCTCACATTCGTCCTCAACACTGTCACCGAGCTCCTCTCGAGCATCTTGGGTGGTGTTCTCTCCATCCTCACCGGTGGTGAGAGCCTGCTCTCGCTGTCTCTTGAAGCTCGTGCTCAGTTGGCCGCTGTCATCGCTGGCGCTGTCGACATTGACATCACCACTGACATCCGTCTGACTCTCCTCGGATGGTTGACCGGTGTTGACCTCAACGGCTCTATCATCATTGGCACCATCTCCGGCTCCAGCTCGTCTGCTTCTCCCTCCGGCACTCCCTCCTCTGGCAACAACGTTCCTCTGTCGCCCTCCAGCGCCGCCGCCTCTCCCTCTGGCTCTCCTACCCCCAGCGGTGAGAGCCCCGTCAACGGCACTCCTTCCGGCTCTGCCCCCGGTGCTTCTTCCACCCCCTGTGACACCTTGACCTCTGAGAGCGTTGTTCCCGTTGCCACCAACTCCGAGGGTGTTCCTTCGTCCTCGTCGGTCCCGGTCCAGGTTCCTTCTGGCCCCGCCTCCAGCCCCGTTGTGCCCACCCCCTCGAACGTCGCCCCTGTCTCGTCTGGTGCTGCTTCCTCCACTCCTTGTGACACCCTCACCTCGGAGAGCGTTGTTCCCGTTGCCACCAACTCCGAGGGTGTTCCTTCGTCCTCGTCGGTCCCGGTCCAGGTTCCTTCTGGCCCTGCCCCTCGCCCCTCGAGCTCGACCCCCGCCTCTGGTACCGTCAACGTGATCCCCACTCCTTCCAACGTCGCTCCTGTCTCGTCTGGTGCTGCTTCGTCCACTCCCTGTGACACCCTCACCTCGGAGAGCGTTATCCCCATCGCTACCAGCTCTGAGCAGGCTCCTCAGCCCTCTGTCCCTGCCCAGCAGCCCTCGAGCTCTGCTCAGGTTTCCGTTGATGTTCCCGAGACTCCTGCTGCTGCTAGCAGCACCCCCTGCGACACCATCACTTCTGAGTCCGTGATCCCCGTCGCCACCAACTCCGAGGAGCAGACCACCGTTGTCCAGGCCACTGGCACCGGCTCCACCGTCGACGTTGTTGTCCCCACCACGACCCCGGCTGTCCGTCCCTCGAGCTCCGCTCAGGTTTCCGTCGATGTTCCCGAGACTCCTGTCGCTAGCAGCACTCCCTGCGACACCATCACCTCCGAGTCCGTGATCCCCATCGCTACCAGCTCTGAGGCCCAGTCTGTCCCCGTGCAGACTCCCTCGTCGGTGGCCGCTCAGCCTTCCGTCGATGTCCCCACTCCTCGGCCCTCCGTCCCTGCCCAGCAGCCCTCGAGCTCTGCCCAGGTTTCGGTTGATGTTCCCGAGACTCCTGTCGCTAGCAGCACCCCCTGCGACACCATCACCTCTGAGTCCGTGATCCCCATCGCCACCAGCTCCGAGACCCCTGAGGGCGTCGAGCCCACCCAGGCCCCCAGCCCTTCCGTCTCCGTCGACGTTCCCCAGACTCCTGCCGCTGCTTCGTCCACTCCCTGTGAAACCCTCACCTCGGAGTCCGTGATCCCCATCGCCACCAGCTCTGAGACTCCCGCCCCTCTGAGCACCCCCGCCTCCTGCGCTGGTTGCGCTCCCCGTGTGGTCACCGTCACCACCACCGTGAGCGTCCCTGTCTGCACTCCTACCGCTTAAGCGGTTCGAGTAGTTAGACTACAATCTACCTAACGCGGGATTATTTTCTCTTTGAATATTTCTTTTTGAAGCTTTTTTCTGGCGAATTTCTCAAGAACGGACACGAACGAACTTACAGCACAAACGGCAGAAGAAATTATCTGGTGAACTATCTTTTGTTGTGGTTGTTGGCCTGTACATAACTAATTTTAATTCTATAATCCTCGGACAGCTCGTGCCCTACTTTGGTCATCCGTTTAAGTTGCATACACTTTCCTGTCCAGTTGTTTCAAGTGTATACAAGAGTAGGGCATTATGTACATAAAGCGATAGTTCATTGCGTCTTGTCCAATCTTGAGATTGGTCCGGAGGAAAGAATTATGTTTTTTTGTGATTTATTGGTACATTGGTTTTGGTTTTGGTTAACTGGCTTGTGTTAATGGTTGATTCCCCTTAATGGATTACATTCCTTTTTAACCATTAGTATCTGTCTACGGAGTATAAGTATGTTTTACTATAGATGTCGATGTATAACCCTATCCTACCGAAATGCAATGCATAAAAATACATTGTCCCGCGTGGGGTGTATCTCAGGGGCACGATACCACTTGTATCCGTAATTACCAGTAAAACAAAACATGACAGTTCCTGTAATAACCAGTACAAACAAATACTACTAAACTGGTCCACAATATTATATCCCGCAGTCGACAATCGCAATAAGAAGCCGCTCAATAATCAGGGCTGACAGGTGTTTAGTGTGATGACGAGTTGCTGATTATCATTGATTGTGCAATTGCACCGCCTTGCTTTTTTCTTTTCCCATCCGTCCTTTCTTTCCTTTTCTTGTACCGAAGCGGGAGATTATGATTATGGGGGTGGAATAATTCGTTTGTCTCACTGTTTTATTTTATTCTCTTTTGGCAATGTTATCCGTGCACTCGGCTGTTGGTAGCGTTGGCAGGGCGTTGACGTCGTTGGCATCGCGGTGATGTCTGTAAACGGTTGAAGTGTGGATAGAGACGGTGTAACCCGGGCATTCCGCTGGCCCATGTGCTTAGTGTGCTGTGTGTCTCATGTGCTGGACAGGGATACATCGTCTGTCATCTGCAGGTACCATTCTTAACAGTGTGTCTGTTTGTGATGACTATCAGAAAACTACCGAGAATTAACCGTCTATGCCAAGAGTCTACAAGGCGAGTGGAAATAGTTCTAACATAAAGATGGTTTCTTGATATTGGATTGATTGTTACCCCTAATAACCTACCTGGTCACGAACGGCGTCGCATGGCTCGTATTCGCTCGCGTAGGAGCTTCTCGCGAAGTTCCGTGTTGGATATGCGCGTACCTTTCGGCTTAGAGGAAGTAGTCTATAACCCAATCTGTTAGTTCAAAGATTATTTCATTCATCCAGGAACAATGAACTGGAAAAGGAGGGAGGGGAGGGGATGACGGTGAATCAAGACAGACATCAAGGTTAGGAGAAACGTAGATTGCCTTCGAGGTTATGAGGTTTCATTCACCCACCTCATCGGCATCCTTCATCTCTTTGTCAGCCGAGCTCGAGCGGTTTGTGGGCGGTGGTAGTGGTGGTCCCTCGTCTTCATCAGTCAACCTCTGGCGCTTTTCAGTGGGGACGGATACAGATGACGAGTTTCGCCGTCTTCGTGCGGCGGGGGTATATCTTTGGAGAGAACGGCGTCTCTTGCGATCATGGTCTCGGTCCTTTCTTGGACTGCGGCTGCGAGATTCAGATCGTCTCGGGCTGCTGCTGGGTGTGCGTGTTCGGCCTCGACTGCGGCTGCGGCTGCTGATGGTGGAATATCGACGTCTGCGACCGGCGTCGCGGTCTCTGCTGCGGCTCAAACGGCGGTTATCACGGGAGCGGGCCTTTCCAATATCAGCCGTTGTCTCTTTCTTATGTGTTCTTGTATCAGATTTTCTCCGTCTATAATCCGCCCCCCGAGACAATGACCTGGATCCCGACCTCGACCTCGATCTTGAATATGAAGCGTTCCTTCTATGGCGACGGGGAGGCGGCGAGCGCGAGCGCGACGGACTGCGGGATGAGACGGATCGCCTCCTTCGGTCCCACTTGGGCGAACGTGAACGCGATGAATCACTGCGACTAATAGACCTAGACAGACTGCGTCTCTTTGTCCTCCTGCGACCTCCTCGCTCCGGAGACGGGGAGCTGCTAACTGACCGACGACGTCTCCGCGGCGGGGACCTCGACGAGGATGGTGTCCGGGAAGGAGAACGGCTGACCGACCGCGACGGCCGACGACCCCTACGAGGCCCCGATGGAACGTAGGAATCAAACTCTCGCCTAGGCGGAGGTTCACGGAAACGGCCGGGGCTGCGTCGCCGGGGTGGTGATCTGTTGTCTCTGAACGGGCGTCTATCAAAGTCCCTGCCTCCGCCGCGACTGCCACCTCGTCCCCTCCCTCGACCGCGATCAAATCGTTCCCTCTGTCGAAGGTCTTGTAGTTCGCGTTCACGTATGCGCTCTTGCTCTTTCTGGCGTTTGGACTCTTCGGCTGCTTTTTCGGCTTCGATCTAGCACGTAGACGTTAGTACCGTAGTCGAACATGTGGAGTATAGACCGGACACACCTTCTCTTGTATAAGCTCCAGCTTCTTCGCCTCCAAAAGCTCCTTGGGAACGCCTTGAGGATTTTCCTGGGCACTCAGACATAGCGACCACAGCTCCTTGCAGAACTTGCCCGTATCCTTATCCAGAAACCCCGTGAGTTGAATCTGCAACGATTTGATATCTGGCTGTTCAAAACGAGATATTAGCCATATCCATACCCCATCAGACTGGTTCGCAATCACATACATAACGTGAACCCTCGAGAAGATTAAAGCAAAGCTCAATCACCACATCATCCTCATTCCCAAGAATCTCAGAGATCTTCCCGGCAATCCACCTGTGTCATAAAGCACTTCAGTCAGTCTCCGATTGCTCTTAGCGAATGTCAGGTGAAACTCACTTCTTCATGACCTCGATATTCACCTTCGTCATATCCACCTTCCGGCTGAATTCCGGGGGGAATTTGGTCTGCCGGAGCATCTTCGCATCGACGCTCGCCATTTTTGTTAGCTAGGATGTTTTGAGGGTATTCGCAGGCCTTGTGAAAGCTGGAGCGCGTGAAAGCTGCAGATACCGCGGCGAGAAACGAAATTGCGCTTTGGGTTGGTGTTGGTGGACGTACACCGGAGTGATTTCGGTCCGGTGCTTATCGGAGCTGCAGGGTTGCCTTTTTGGGAAGGGACTCAGTGATGGATCAGAGCCAATGCATAGTTGGATTGTGACTTGTAGACACCAATTGATACAAGTGGCAAATATTCGTGTTCTATAAAACAGATGCATAAGTGATATTAAAGTAGTAGACATTCAATAAGCCCAAACCGGGCATCCAGTTTCCATACCATGATCATAACCATAACCTCGACCCCGTTTTCCTTCTGAATCATTCCACATTAAAACGATATGTCCCAAGCCCTCTCACTAATCCCCTCCCCATTATAACTAACCTCCTTCAACACCTTCTTCACATTCTCCCTCGCCCTCGCCAACTCCTCATCGACAGTCCCATTCGCATGTCTCGTCTTGAGTTCGTGGTGTAAATTCACCAATTCTTTTGCGCGTCGGAGGTCTTCGTTACTGTCACGGTGAGATTGTGCTTGCGATTGCGATTGAAATTGGGTTTCTTGTGAGGGTGCGCGCGGAGGGAGTCGCTCGTTTACGGTGACGAGGGTGAGGGCATCAGCGTGGTCCTGTTCGCGTTAGTTGTGGTTATACCAGAGACAGAGGTCCAGGCTGTGGTTTGATAGACATACACACACTCGTAGGGAGGTTATGTCCGAGAGGATCTCTGCGACTTGCATGATATGGTGGTAACGAGAGCGAGAATAGCGCTGAAGTAGGTGTACGAAGGGATGTTCTTTCGAATTGCTCTGCTGTGATATGAGAGGGTCTTGGCGCTGGAATGATGAAGAGTCCGGATCTATGAGCGTCTTACCGATCTCTGAAGTTGAAAGTGTTGAAGTCCAAAGATTGCGATCCAATTGACTGCTTAACTGACGTAACTTCAACCCAGATAGCACAATAACTCTATTAGCGTGAACCGCCTATCAGCATCATTGCATTGCTGCTCTCCAAAGATAGATCGCATACACCTTCCATGTCACACCCTCCAAGCTAACGGGAACAAATCCGACTCTCGGAGTTTCGTCGCTTCTCCGCAATCCGATTAATTGATTACCCGCGCGACATAAAAGCACCCCCCCTTCCCCAACACAACGGTGCTCTCATACGTATTCTCGCCAATTGACATACAAGACCGCAACAATGGCATCTGCTATCAGAGCAAACTGCAGAAAAGTCATCTGCATCGGCAGAAACTATGCGTCCGTCTCCCCTCTCCCCGCGACTCCAAACCAACCCACCACCTTAACCAGTGGCTAACACATACGAGATGAATACAGCGACCACATCACAGAACTAAACAACACCAAGCCAAAACAACCCTTCTTCTTCCTCAAACCCTCATCCTCGATCTTGTGTCCCGGAGAAGGACCCGTCCTGCGTCCCCGCGGAACGAACCTGCACTATGAGGTGGAATTGGCGCTGGTAATGGGCAAGTCGGTTAGGGATTTGGACCCGCGGGATGATAAGGGGGCTTTTGATGCGATTCAGAGTTTGTCGCCTACTTTTCATATCTAATGAGGTATGGGTGGAATGGGAGCTGATGATTTGGCAGGCTACCTCCTCGCAATCGACATGACAGCCCGGAACGTCCAAGACGAAGCGAAGAAAAAGGGTCTCCCCTGGACGATTGCCAAGGGCTTTGATACTTTCCTCCCCGTTTCGCAGGAGATTGCGAAGTCGCGCATTCCGGACCCGCATAATGCGTTCCTGAGGTTGAGTGTTGGGTCGGAACAGCGACAGGCGGATTCGTCGGGTCTTATGCTTTATCGGATTCCTAGGCTTATGGCGGAGATTTCGCGCGTTATGACGCTTGAGAAGGGAGATCTGGTGCTGACTGGTACGCCTAAGGGTGTTGGGGAGGTTAAGTCTGGGGATGTTATGAGGGCTTCAATTGAGGTTGATGGGAAGGAGATTGAGGAGGGAAAGATTGATGTTGAGGTCAAGGATCGTGAGGGGCGGTATGAGTATAGTGAGACTTAAAGGATCAGTATGAAACGTTATGATTACATGTGGCTCGGGGGGTACATAGCAATATGATTGTTGCATGACAGTCAGTTGTATAGGAGATCCTCCTCATCCACAGGCACGATGGAAATACACCTCCTCTTCTTGCTCTTCTTGACTGGCTTATCCATCTGTTGCTGAGATCTCTCGTGCTCTTTAACAATCCTCTGCACAGCAGTTTCCAAAACACCCCACAGCCACCCCTCCTCGTCCAACCGTTCTTCCAGACGACCCCTAACATCCCCGTCATCAAGCCCAACCACAAACGCCTCCACAATCCTCCCCTCCCTCTTCCTAGGCGGCAGTTGACCTCGTCCAGCCGTCGTCAACGAGAAGTACTCCGACAGACTTCGCCCATCCTGCTTGATCATGCGGTAATCATCCTCATCAGGATCCAGCTCGTTCTTCTGGCCATCGCGGGAATGAGCTGGCTGCTGATCTCTGGCGTCGCTAAAATTTGAACTTCCTAGCGTACTCTGTGAGAGCGTTTGTAGGGAGGTATCATGATCCTGTTTTGGGGATGAGACACGCCGCTCTCTCGGCATCGAGTCAGGTACGATATCCATATCCTTGTTAGACGTATCGACCATAGTCGTATCCGCGCCTGCCATTTGAATCAATATCGTATCCCCAGCCCTAACCAGCCCAGCTCAGACGCGACGTGCAGCAAACATACCTCTCCCACAATAACACCTACCACACTGCAGCCCCTCCATCTCCCTACCCACTGCCTCATCCACAACCCTCCCAACGTCCACCCTCATCATATCCCTCATGTCGCTCATCACCATACCCACCTGCATCCCAACAGCACTCTCCAACGCCTCGCCCCACCCATCCTTCACTCCATCAACCAAACCCTCCAACCTCTTATTCTCCCCCTTGACTCCCTCAACGGCCCTCTCTAACTCAGCAAAACGCGCATCAATACCGCCTTCAAGCTCTGTAACTCTTCGTCCCAATGCTTCGCGCGCGTCAGCTTCTGCTTCAACCTTGGCTTCAGAATGAGTGTTGTTGTTTTCGCGCGCGCGGAGGTCCTGTACGGTTCGTTCGAGAGCGGAGACGGTTTGTTGGAGGATGGATAGGGCGTGTATTGTTTTGGAAAGATCGGATTGGGTCGTTGTGAGTTGGTTGAGGAGGCGGATGTTTTCACGGCGGATTTCGTGGGCCCAGAGGAGGGAGGGGGCTGTTGGATCCCAGGGTCGTGACGATGATGTTGGTGTGTTTTCCATGGGTGTGGCTGTTTGTTTTGTAGAAAGAGTCGATGAGGTGGTATATGAGAGATGGCATGAGTGAATTATTTGGAGTGAGTTGGGTTGAGGTGAGGGTTGGTATACGAATCGGGAAAGGACCTCAAGTCCATGGAGTCGTCTACTAATCTCCCGGAAACAAAATAGAACATGGAATTGACATTTACTCTATTGAACTAGCCATAATCACATATTCATCCACCCAAATGCTTTTGCCCATCATCACGAGAAACAAGAGCGCCTGAGCAGATAAATCACATTCTTTTTGCTCGACCTATTGATCAAGAATGAACCACAGCATCCTTAACCAACCAGAGGGAGCTAAGTACAAAAAGGAAATTCGGGATAAAAAATAAGAAAACGGTAACTCGGACGCAGGAAACAGTAGTAGAAAAAGAAAAAGAGAACCATGAATTATAACAACAAGAAGGCATAAACACGTCGCATCTCCATAAGCACAGTAGATAGAACAAAGGAAACCATAAACAACTGCTAGACGAGTACGAACTCCCGACTAACATCTGTGCGAGTACATGCTGGAGACACAGAAAGCCACTTTTTTGAAGAGGATCGATCTCCTTTCTTTTTTTGCCATCGGACAAGCAACGAGGTCAAGACGTCCTTTTTTCCACCGCGGCTCACCCTTGGCTCCGTTGAATGGCATACTGCGATCTAGGATCGAGGACAGAAGGGGGTTCGGGTTAAGGTGTTTAGATGAGGTCTGAAATACGTTAGAATTTTGACGTTTTGATTTCAAAAGAGAGAAGGGAAACATACCAGCAACGTTCATGGGCATCTCCTCGATCTGGGTGCTGTAGAACTGCTCGATCTCACGCATCATACGGACATCGTCAGCGGTGACGAAGTTGATGGCAACACCCTTACGACCGAAACGACCACCACGACCGATACGGTGAATGTAGTTCTCACGGTTGGCGGGCAAGTCGTAGTTGATGACTAGCGAGACCTGCTGGACATCAATACCACGGGCCAGAAGGTCAGTGGCGATGAGGACACGAGAAGAACCAGAGCGGAACTCCTTCATGATAACATCACGCTGGCCCTGCTCCATGTCACCGTGCATGGCGGAAACGGTGAAGTCACGGGCAGTGAGCTTGTCGGTGAGCCAGTCGACCTTTCTGCGGGTGTTGCAGAAGATGACGGCCTGGGTGATGGTGACGGTCTCGTAGAGGTCAGAGAGGGTGTCGAGCTTCCAGTCCTCCTTCTCGACGGCGATGTAGAACTGCTTGATACCCTCAAGGGTAAGTTCCTGCTTCTTGACAAGGATACGGATGGGGTCGCGCATGAACTTGGTGGTGACCTCCAGGACGTCCTGGGGCATGGTAGCCGAAAGCAGGGTAACCTGGGTCGATTGGGGGAGGAGCTGGAAGATGTCGTAGATCTGCTCGGTGAAACCACGCTTTTGGCAAGTTAGTATTGCGACTTTATGCAATTGTGATCGGAGAAACATACAGAAAGCATCTCATCGGCCTCGTCAAGGATGAACAGCTTCATCTGGTCCGTTCTCAGGACACGGCGCTGAATCATATCGTGGACACGGCCGGGGGTACCGACAACGACCTGGGGACCGTCACGGAGGGCCTGCATGTCCTCACGGACGTTGGTACCACCGATACAGGCGTGGCACTCAATGCTCATGAAGTCACCAATGGCGACAACGACCTTCTGGATCTGCTGAGCAAGCTCACGGGTGGGAGCGAGGATCAGAGCCTGGCAAGCCTTCAGGTTGGGGTCGATCTTCTGGAGAGCGGAGACGGAGAAGGTGGCAGTCTTTCCAGTACCGGACTGAGCCTGAGCAATGACATCGTTACCTGATCATTGTTAGCGTTTTTTTTTTTTTTTTTTTCAACTTTACAAGAAAAATATAAAACCTACCCTTGATAATGGGCATGATGGCACGCTGCTGGATAGCAGAGGGGCGCTCGAAACCATAGGCGTAGACACCTGAAATCACCGTCAGAAACTTTTCTCTCGTATTCTTTCATCCACAGAACCCCGCTCTGTAGACGTTGTTGGGATGAGATATCACATACCGCGAAGCAGCTCGGGCTTCAGTTCCATAGCGTCGAACGAGTCGGTGATCTCATCGTAGTTAGATTCGATCTGTCCTGTACGGTGGGAAGACTCGTTAGCATTGTCGTCGTACGTATATACCGGTCGTGAGAATTTTTCTCCCGTCCATCTCAGCGCCACCACAAAGCGACAAGATGAAATGGACCTGGTGAAAAAGGAATAGAGACTTGAACATACCCTCAGGAAGATCTTCCAATCCCTTGTCAGCCATATTTGCGAGTTGTTGGTAGTATAGTGATCACAGGCGAGGCGCTGTGATCCGGACAAGACGCGGTGGGGTTTTTTTCTGGTGAGGGTTCTTGTTAGCGAAAACGATCCGTGTGGGGGAGGTCAGAGTCGCAAAAACGCACAAAAGTAGTTGGGAGTGGTAGTTGTAAAAAAAACTCTTCTACAAGAAAAGAGAAAAAAAAGGAAGAAAAAAGTGGACGGGTGGATGAAAGTGGGATAATAAATGGTTTTCACCGTTTGGTTGGTCTGGCGCTTGTTCTGTGGGCGGCGAAAAGGTTTTTTTTTTTTTTATCCAAATTTTCATTTTCTGCCCAACAGATGTCACCGCCTGCATTGTTGGGTAACCTACCCACCTTGGATTTCAGTGACAAGACAATAGGACGAGTCCTTTGGTTTGGTGATATCTTGTTTGATGTGTGAAAAACGGATTGTTCTAGCCAATTGGATATGTTATTGATTGGCCTCCGCCACTGAGTCAAGCAAGCAAGAAAACAGACGGACCACGACGGCCTACAACATACAAGTCTTCACAATGCCAGACATCACATCTCTCGACAGCGAGACTGTCAAGATTGACCCTAACCTACAGGACCAGGAAGACACCCCCGACACAATCCCAGGTCACCCCCTAGGAGTCAAACCCAGTGGCAATGCATTACTTGCCGCTGAAAATCTCCGGAATGCCATCGGGACATTCAGCATCCTCCCGGACGAACTTATCTTGATACTATTGGAATTCCTCGATGGTCCGAGTCTGTTACGCATCGGCCGGACATGTAAGGCATTTTACGCATTCACTCGAGCGGAAGAATTATGGAAGGGACTCTTCTCCTGGTAAGACTTGGCTTGGTTTTGGCATTCTTTGGTAGACATAGCAATCCAAAGACATTTACTAAAGAGACTAGGTCTCCTCCTACTTCATTCACCTGGAGAAAAACATGGCGCGCAACATATCTTAACCTCCCACTCTCCCAAATCCCCAACCTAGACTGTTCTCATTTATACTCTGACGCCCTCCACCGACCCTTTTACTGCGCGCACATCTCGCTAGACCCCTTCGCCTGTAATATTCCTGCCAGAAACCAGATCGCGCGTCTACCGGACCTTACACCTGAAGAGTTCCATAAAGAGTGGACGGACAGGCCGTTTATCCTGACGGAGCCCGTGAAGCAATGGCCGGCATATCAGCAATGGACGACGGACTCGTTACTCGAGAAGTACGGGGATACGGTATTCCGCGCGGAAGCTGTTGACTGGCCATTTAAGACGTACGTGGATTACATGCGGAATAACTCGGACGAAAGACCGCTGTATCTATTCGACCGGGCGTTCGTGTCCAAGATGGGACTGAAGAATGGACACATAAATCAAGAACCTGAGACGACATACTGGACGCCACCTTGCTTCGGAGAAGACTTCTTCTCAGTCCTCGAAAATGACCGTCCCGATAGACAGTGGTTGATCATTGGCCCCGAACGCTCTGGAAGTAGCTTCCACAAAGACCCCAACGCCACCAGTGCCTGGAACGCTGTTGTCCGCGGCTCCAAGTACTGGATCATGTTTCCCTCTTCGTCGAAACTGCCCCCTCCACCGGGTGTTTATGTTTCCGAGGACCAGAGTGAAGTGACATCTCCACTCAGTATCGCGGAGTGGCTACTCACCTTCCATGCTGAGGCACGGAGGACAGCAGGTTGCATTGAGGGGATTTGCGGTGAGGGAGAAATCCTGCATGTCCCGTCAGGATGGTGGCATCTCGTGGTGAACTTGGAACCAGCTATCGCTATCACGCAAAATTTCATTCCCCGTGGACATTTGAGTGCGGCGCTCGACTTTTTGTATAACAAGGCAGACCAGGTCTCCGGATTCCGAAAAGATGTCACAGACCCCTACGAACGGTTTGTAGCAAGGATGCAAGAAATACACCCCGATTTACTGGAGCAGGCATGGGAAGAACTGAACAAGAAAAACGAAGGCAAGAAGCGCAAGTGGGATGAGATTGTCCACGGCAAGACGGAAGATGAGGGACCTGAAGAGGCAGAAGGAGGTGGTTTCAGCTTTGGATTCGGTGATGATAGCGATGTGGAGGTTCCTTGAGCATTATCTGAATGTCGAATTGTTGAAACTGCGACGTTATGCTATGGACCCTTCAAACGAAACAATGATACCCGACTTGACTACATCGTCCAACATACCGGTCTCCCACGGGACAACGATCAATGACAAGCAACAGATTTAGTAGCTGACTCGTCCTGCCCAAACGCCAAATACCCCACAAAAGCACCCACCGCAACCGCCAACATAACCAACCCGTTATACGTCATGAACAACAGCCTACCACGTTAACTTCACCAAACCAGTGCACCAAGGCTATAGGGAAAGAAACTCACATGATAAAAAAGCTATAAAACACCTGCACCGCATACAACGCAGCCAGCGCAATCTTCCCCCTCCTCTCCGCAACCCGTCTCGGATCCCTGCCTACAAGCAGCGGTGAGCTCTCGTCCGGGTCATCCAGCCCGGCCGTGGCCGTGGTACTGGCACATTCGTCGGCGATCTCAGTGCCTTTTCAGGATGAAAGAGACGGTAATGATCAGCCGGTGCGAATAGCCATACCATCAACAACTTAATACATCCAACCATTCAAATGTAACCATGGGTATAAGTTAGAAAAAAGACTTACTTGTAGAAACGCCAACACCGCTCAACCGCTGTACATGTCCCGCTTCATAACGCCTCGTAATCCGTCTCACACCCTCGTAACCAGCTGTCAATAGCACGATAACGACCAGCGACACGAATAGCGAGAACGGGCCTGTCACGCGCCATTGCGGGAAGATGATGCAGAGGTTCTTGGTTGACCATGTAAAGAGCATCTACCAGCCATAGTCATAGTATTAGAGGCTGCGTTATCGATCAAGGTGTCTGGGTGTCCGGGCACTCACGTTCATGTTACACTGGCCCATATCCATATCGCCGTGTCCGCCGTGCCCGCCGTGGTCCATACCGCCGTGACCCATATCCATATCGTGGTGCATGTGGTCCATTTTCGCTCCAGAAGGTGTATTCAGAGATGCGCTTGAATTCGTAGTATATAATCGGATAGAATGGTAGAGAGAGGATAGATAATGAGGAGTAAACTGGCAAGGAGCACCTCATAATCCCTTGGCATTCCAGATCACCGCTGCAAACAATGCAAATAACCTGATAAGATCGTAGTGCGCTCCTCTTTAATGCGACAGCGACAAGCATCTGTCCTACGACGCGAATCATATATCCCAGCAGAATTACTACTTTCGATCAACTTTCACTAGACATAGCGCCGCCAAATAATACAGAAACGAAAATGGCCGACACAGCACCCCCTCCCACCCGACCATCACCACCACCCAACGACGACAGCGTTGGCGCAGCACCACAAAGTACAGGAGCACAACCAGGATCCCCAGAGAAACAAGCACAAGCACAAACACAAGGCCCAGCACAAAACCCAGCACAACCACCACAAACACAAACACAAACACAAACCTCCCAAAATGCTGCCACAGCATCATCAACAGACCAATCCCGCGGCCTCCCCTACTACGAAAAACTCCGACGCGACCTACGCGATACTCTCCAGAAGAAGCGATTAATGGACAAGAGCATGGTACTTCCCCCTTTTACCTCTTACCTATAACTTATCAACTAACCTCAATTCCTCGGGAATGTGACAGGCCCAGCTAGAAGACCAAATATACCGCTTCGAACAATCTTATCTCGAAGAAACGACCGCCGGAAACATAATCAAAGGCTTCGATAACTACATTAAAGGCTCTTCCACAGGGTCAACACTGACAACGGGCATTGGGTTATCGGGAGCCGGAATGGGCACTGCGGGGGGTGGAGCGAGACGGAAGGCGCAGGTTACTGAGGCGGATCGGGTGTTTTCGAAGAGTTCGGCAGGGTTTATGAGGGTATGTTTCTTTCCGTTGATTCTGGGGCGAAGTAGGGATATGGGGGAGGAGAGAAGCTGATATGTGTCTAGGAATCTCCAACGCCTTCGTCTACGCAGACGACGCCCGCGCCTACGCCGTTGTCGAATGGGGGCGATGCTACGAATGGGAATTCGAAGGCTGGATCAAAGAATAAGAAGAAGTCTGGGAATAAGAATGTGGAAGAGGACGTTGAAGATAGCGATAAGCCGCCTGTGAAACGGTTGAAGATTAGCTATGGGAGGGATTGATTTGTCAGTTATGGCCAAGGGCTGGTTGCTATCTACTGGATTGGCCACGGGACAGGAGTTAGGCGCTGGTCAAATCGTGCATTGCATTCTGTACATTATTCCTGTTTATGCAATTTATGGATTCTCAAGTCATCAGCCACCGCCGTCAGCTACTGTGAATCAATCTGCAACCGATAAGTCGCAACCTCAAAGGCCCTTAGCTCGATACCAATTTCAGTCTTCGAAAGCAGCGTCTGTGATACGGTAAGCTCCTCCTCGTCGTCTTCGAGCACGTTGCACTTGAAAGCCTTCGTAACCGGGAGCTTGGTCCGAATAGTTCCACGGCTCTTGCCACCCAACGACTCATAGATGCGGAGGATAACACTCTTTCCAGGACGTACGGGCAGTCCGCCCCGAGAAACATCCTCGTCATCCTCGCCTCGCTTAATCGCATCGAGAATAAGGGATTCATTGCCAACGAGTTCGACGGGTCGGACAGTCGTTTTTTCGCCGGATGAAGATTCGAGGATGAGTGGGTTATTGAAATTGTACCCTGCACGAACGGTACGCCAGTCAAGAGGTCCTTCATGTGGGAGAATGCCGTAGCGGATGTGGTGACGACCCAGGTCCGCATGGGCATCCGGTGCCTTGGGCGCGCGGAGCAAAGAAAGACGCATCATATTACCACTGGTTGCAAAGCCGTATTTGGAATCGTTCAAGATTGACACGCCATATCCATACTCGGAGAGGTCGGCCCATTTGTGGCAGCAAACTTCGAATTTGGCCATGTCCCAGCTGTTCTTGTCAGTATCAACGCGCAAAATATTGGATGTCAGCCACATACCTCGTGTTGTAATGAGTTGGCCGTCTGATAATACCATATTGAGTCTCGTACGACGCCTCTGTATTGGTAATGTCCACTGGGAATTCAACCTTGAGGAACTTCATGGTCTCCTGCCACTCCACCTCACTGTCAAACTCAACATAGGACGGTTCATCACCCTGAGATGCAGCAAGGCTGATGGTCGTCTTGACCCAGCTCTTGTCGCTGATCTTGGTCTCGGTAACGACACTGGCACGGTACGGATCCGCTTCGGCAATGGAAGCCTGACTTGAGGATAGTTCCTTTCTGGATTCGAGATGGAACACCTCTACATCCCATGCTTGCCAGTAAAGCGGCTTGTCGTCGAAAATCACCAATTGACCAGCTTTGCCTCCCTCCGCGATAATTTCACGGTTCGCCTTGATGTCGAACAAAGATGTGATAACTCCATTTTCAACGATGACCCGCAATTGCTTGTTCTCCAATTGGAATACGCCAGGCTTTATCTCTGCAACTGTCACGGTAGATAGTTCTGTCCGGCTCGCATCTTTGACTTCATCATCTCTGACTATGGCATAATTGGAGACGGGGTTGGAGATCCCGTATGCAGCAGGGATCCGAACGATCTCCGCGCGAGACCATGGGAGCGTGTTAAGGGCCACCATCTCATGCCCATGGCCATAGCCAAGCGTCTTCAAAGCGCCATTTCTAAGCCTTTGTCCGGTCTCGAAGACCTTGGCATAAAGCTCGTCCGAGTCATCATAGCACATCTCAATGCAGCTGCCGGGTAGACAATCGTGGAACTGACATAGAAGTGTAGCCTCCCACATGTCATCTATGTCTTCTTTAGGATACTTGTACTGGCGGCTTTTGTCGGTTAGGGAAGCAACTGTCGCCAGAAGCTCAATATCACGTAGCAAGAATTCCGCCTTGCGGTTGTTCCGCTTGTTATTCGCCTGGGTGGTGTATGTACCACGGTGCAGCTCGAAATATAGCTCTCCGTGCCAGGTGACAAATTTGGTCCCTTCGGCAACCTTCTTCTCAAGCTGAGCAAAGAAATCGTCGACGGAATTTCCCATCTTTACACGGGGAAGCAAGCCGGTTTTGTCGCTCAACCCACGGCAGCGACGCAGCTTTTCCAGATGCTCAAAGGTAGGGCCACCGCCGCCGTCTCCCTTGCCAAAGACAAGAAGGGAGGTGTTGTCTTGATCCAGAGACTTGTGCTGGGTCACACTACGCCTCACGTCGCCAAAGTGAGCGCTAGCCGTGTACGTTTCAGCCGGCGTCATATGGCACATGACTTGGCTGCCATCGAGTGCAACCCATTGGAAAGTGGTATGGGGGAAATTATTGATATTGTTCCAGCTGAGCTTCTGCGTAAAGAAGCGGCTCATGCCGGCCAATCTGCAGATTTGGGGAATCTGGGTTGAGTAGCCAAAGGTATCTGGAAGCCAGAAGGTGGTGCACCGCTCGCCAAAGTTGCTCTGGAAGAAGCGCTGTCCGTAAAGAAACTGACGCACCAGAGACTCTCCACTGGGCAAGTTGGTGTCATGCTCGACCCAACTGCCACCGACTGGCTGGAAATGACCCTTCTTCACCCACTCTCTGACTCTCTCGAAAACCGAGGGATAGTACTGCTTCAGCCACTTGAATTGTTGTGCTTGAGAACACGTGAACCGGTGCTCGGGGTAGCGGTCCATCAAATCACACTGATTCGACCAAGACCGGGCGACTTTGCGCTTTGTTTCGGCCCATGGCCAGAGCCAACAGGTATCGATATGACAATGTCCGATGGCGTAGACAATAGGTTGCGTGTTGGTATCATAGACTTCAGAAGAGTCAACCTTGTCACCAAGGTACTTCCTTGCAATTCGGCGTCCTTCCTTGATGGACTCTTGGCTTCCGTTGCCAACAATGAAAGCGTCCATGATGGCATTGGCGACCATATTCGCTTCGTGAGATTCCCACGAGTCACTAGGGAATTCCCGTGCCGCATCACCAATAATCCAAAAATCATAATTCAACCCCCTCGCCTCCAAATTAACCGCCACAATCCTCGCCGTCTCCAATTTGTAATATCTATCCTCACTCGGCGGCTGAATGCTATCTCCACCCGGCGCATTCCCAAACATGCCATTACACGCCATCTCAATATAAAACACATGCTCCTTTCCATCCCTCCACGCATCCGGAATGACCCACTCAATCCGTTCTCCACCACCCGTGAGTCCCTGTAACGGACGTCCGTCCTCGCTCCACACGAGGCCCTCGTTGTTCGCGTCCCAGTGGAATTCAAGGTGTTCTTTGTCGCGCATGTCACGGGGAACGGTGAGACGGATACGGAACCAATGCGTGGACCAGCTGGGGCCGAAGGAGGCGCCGGTTTGGGTGGGGGTGAAGGGATGGGAGGTTGCATCGGCAAAGGTTGGGCGGGCGAGGTTGGGGACGGAGTAGACGGAGAGGTTTATATGGTCGGTGTCGGTGGTGATGGCTTCGAAGAACTTGCTGTGGTTTGTTAGTATAGTAGTATTGGATCGGAGTGTAGTGATGGCATACGAAACAAGATTTTGCCCCTCATACTGTCCCGTTGCCGTGAACTGTTGCAGACGATCGGTGTAGATGCCCTTGATACGCTGGCCGACGGGGTGACTGGGCGTCCGGGGAAGCGAGCTGGGAGCTCCCAGCGGTGCACCTCCACCCATGTTGCTCTGGGAATCCACAGTGGCTGCTCTTGATGAGAGATTGAGATAAAGATGGATAGTGATAAATCAGAGATGGAAGTGATGATAATTGTTGCAGAGAATAGAAAACAGGAGTGGTATGATGGTTGTCAGAGAGAGTGAGGAAGCACATGATCTGCGGCTGCCAGGAACGGAATGACGTTCTCTTTGCGGGGAAGCTCATAGCACAAGTACATACTACTTAGAATGCATAATTCAGTACAGTACACGAGCATCGAACACTGTGCTATAGCCCGTGGTCCAGACCTGAATAACTGAATCATGCCAGCTCACATCGACTGCACCTCTGCTGGACCCGCGAGTCGTAACTCCAGTACGCAAGGGATTCTACTGTAGTACGCCACGCTGCACGAATTACCGGTAGATATATCGATAATCTAAATACTTCACAGAAATAACCAATCAATCTATAGCCATAACCTCATTGATAACCATAATCCTAACACCTAATACCCCTGCAATAAAACAAAAACAAGTCTACTTGTATACAACGCCAATAACAGACAAAAAAACGCAGAGAGAAGACCCACCACATCATACATAATCCCAAGGATCAACCCTCCCATACGTCGTATACGGATTCACCGGCCCAATTAGCCTTATTTGCGCCTTCAGCTGTGCCCTCCTCCGATGCATCCGCGCATCAACAACCCTCCTCTTCGCTCCACCCAGCGCATCCCGCATATAACTCGTCCCGTCATGCAGCGCCTTCGTCCCGCGCTGCAGCTGTGACCGCAACGGTGGCGAGGTGGGTAGTTTGGGATAGGACTTTGTTGCAGTGAGATTGAGGGTTGAGCTGTTGTTGGTTATGTACGAGGCTGTACTTGTGCTTGTGTATGATGCTGTGGGGGTTGAGAGAGACCAACGGCGGGTTCGGGGTTGAGTTTGGTAGAAACGGTTGTGATTGTGGGGCTGCGTGCTTGTTTTTGCGAATATGCTTGGGGTGGATGGTTTGTCGAAGATGGCAGCGCCAAATTTTTGATATGGCGATAAGGGCACAGCGAGTTGCTTTGGGTATGCCGGGCCGTGATGTGGGGGTGTGGACCGTGGGCTATCCGTGGCACTGCTGGATCCGGTGGACATGGATAGCGATCTGATCCGGGTGACGATGGAGATATTTTTCTCGCAGGGCGGCTGTGACTTTTGAATGGCGTATAGGTAGTCGCTGCGCTCGGACTTTTGCTTGCTCTTACTCCTGCTCTTGCTCTTGATGCTCTTGATGCTAGTCGTGCTATCCGAGAAATCGCTCATACTAGCAGCAGCCGCTCTCTTCGCCGTCGAAGGCCGAGGCTGCCGTCTCCGCTTCTCCTTCTCCTTCTCCAGCGACGACTTCAGCGTCTTCTGCACAGCAGACCGAATCGAGTCACGGACATTGGTCGCCAGCGCCGGTGCCCCCGTTAACGTGTTTGTGCGCGTCTGCCGAAAGTCAAACGCAGATGTATTCCGCTTCTTGGCTTGCACAGCAGATGCCTGACGACAGGGCCTCTTCGACATGCCCGCCACAGGGGCCAATTCAGGGAAGAAATCCCACTTCTTCTCGCGGAAGTAGTGGCTGTTATCATTGCGAGCTTGCGTGAAGTCTGTGGCGGTATGCCGGATTTGAGACCACCGCGCATCAAGATGATGGTCGTTATAATCGTCATCGTCATTCCATGCCTCTAGATCCTCCAGATCCCCCAACACATCACTCTCCTCGTTATCACTGCCCGGAAACGCCTCCAGCGGATCCGGACTATGTCTTGTCACAAGCGGGGTAGGAACAGTCGGCGATAATAACTCTCCCTTCCCAACATCCCCACTGACACCCGAATACGGCCTCTCACCACCATATTCACTCCCCGTCCGAACAAAAATCGGACAACTATCTGACGAATACCGCGACGACTCCCGCCCCGAGTACCGCGACCTGCTATCCAGCGTACTGGTCTCGTTGCTGTTGCTCGACGCCATTGAACCCGCGTGACCCATAGAGGGTGGTGTGTTGGGGAGCGGCTTCTCAGGTAGCGGCTTGTCGAGCTGGAGGTAGTAGGGCCGGCCGGTGAGAGATAACGGTGAAGAAAGTACTAACGGTGACGTGGGTGGAATGACTTGTTCTAGGCCTTCGAGCGATTGGGATGGTTTCACCGGTGGTGCTGGTCTGCTGGCATGGGTGTGGGTGCAGGGTACTGCGAGCATTTCTTCTTTACTGGAGGGGTAGGATTAGTGTCGGTACCGGACCGTTTAGAGTATACACTGTATGTATCCGACACTGGCGAAAGACGGACGAACGGAGAACGATGGTTCAAAGAATGAAAAGGAGCGGGTTTGTATATATACAAAAACGGCTTACACCCTTCCCTCCCTTCAAAGCTTTGGGCACACAGAAAGAGAGACACAAACCTTGCGTGAGATGGTTTCTGGCACCGTTTGGGGCAGTTCTTCAAAGCGCCAGATCCAGCCGGGACAAAGATAACTGCACGGCTGAGTGCATGTTTAGGAAAGAAATTGAGACGAAAAAAGGAAAACGAGGGTAGAACAAAGAAACGATAAATAAAAATTGCAATCAAAGAAGGAGGAAGAACTAAAAGATACTAAAGCCAAAAGACATGCATAACAGACACTCTCGACAAAGAAAAACGAAAAGCGCAGAAAAAGGAACTGTAGACGATCAGCAAAGAGCTGCATGGGGATAATGCAAGGAGTTCTTCATTATTTCCAGCCGGGACTCTATTGATGACAATCTGTCGAAGGATTCAGAACATTCAGTTCTTGAATACTAGTAGTCACTGGTAGTTACTGCTGGGTGTATACTCCGACAGACATAGACATCTTTGGTTCACCTACAGGTTCCCCTTCCGGCAGTTGTCTGGTATCCCTGCACTTGACGTAGCACCGCATATGCAATCCAACTGGCGCCTCCACATGGGATCAGACGCTCCAAACCGGAGCATTGTATGTAGATGGAAAAGTCGCCGTGATGGCGTTGCTAGGGTCACGTATATGTATGCGACATGCAGGCACTCCGGAGTGTGCTCTGTGTATTCTGATACTAAACTGGACTATGTAGATACTTGGCGGTGATCTGATCTTCCACTATCGTTCGTATACCCGTAAAAAGCGACTATACTCATACTATGTAGACAACAATGAAAGACGACCGACTAACTCAGCTTCGCCGCCCGCTGCATATCCTCCTTCGTTAGCTTATCCCCCTTCCTCCTCACAGCACTCAACCTCCCCATCCGCATGAGCCTCGTGATCATCTCCTCATCCCCGAAATCGCTATTATGCTCAAACTCCGGTTCCTCGGCGTATGCCACCCGCGCCGCATCCACGAGCATCCGGGCCGTCATTCCATGAACCCTGAATCGCGTGGTTGACTGACCCGCCTTTTCGCGCTCGTGTTCGTCCTGCGAAAGTTTGTCGACTGCGTGCTTTTGCGCGGGCGTTTGGTTGCGCGGTTTGGGTTTGGTGACGGATTTGTCCCGTACGGGGACAAAGAACTGGTGCACTGGGCTAGTGTTAGCCGGATCGGAGGTATGGTATGGACTGAGAAATAATGTGAAAACCACAAAGGCAAAGAACCATTACAACTTGTCATGCGGGAAACACAATCGACAAACAAATGAACAAACTTACTCCTCCAATTGGACTGGTGCCACTCGGTCCACGCCCCCGAATACCACTTTCCCGGCCTTGCGCTGCCAGCCTGGCCCTCTACAGCTTCCCCACCAGAACCAGTCAAAACCTCATCTTCCTGTTTTAGGAAATTATGGAACGGCGCCGTAAACACCGCCGCAACCTCCCGGGCATCCAATCTGGGAATCAACGACACCTCCGGATCCTCATTGACACCCGTCTTTTCATCGTACGAGTGCAGTAGTGCCACGCAAGGACGAACCACCAACTCCGTCCAGGCGAGATTCGCCGGTAGCTCGCAGAGATGTTCGACAATAAACGGGGAAGGGAGAGAGACGTTTGTTTCTGGGAGGCCGATTTCTTCGCGCGCTTCGCGGCGGGAGGTTTGGAAGGGTGATTCTTCTAGGGTGTCTGCGCGGCCTGTTTTCTCAATTCAATATGCGTTCTTGTACGCTGTATAGCACGGTGATTGGTGTACCTCCTGGTAAAGCAGCGTGTCCAGCATCTAATCGCACATTAGCCTGAGTCAATGAGACATAGCAATTAATCACTGGCAGAATGATACCCACATGAACTCAACGTCTTCGCCCGAATGGTCAACACAATCCTCAAATCCCCCTTCGCATCCGCATACAGCAGCAATAAAACTGCCGCTCGCCTAGTCAACGGCAACAAATCATAATTTGTCGGCGGGGGTTTGTAAGACCTTAATCGATCAATTGCAGCCTGTTCGCGTCAGTAATTTTCCTACAGAGACAGAGTAAAATGACAGATGTATATGAGACATGGGAATCTTATGCGATGGAACATAATGATATGACAACAACACATGTTCGATTAAACAATCGAAAGTTTAACAAATAGATGATTAATCGTAGACAAGTAAGACGTACCTGAGACCTTGGGTTCAGTCGTGGCATTATGCTATATTGTTTCTTTGATATTGCTGTTGGCGATGACGGTGTTCGGAAGGGCGATCTGCTGGGGGGTAAGTGAGAGGTGAAGCTCCGATTGATGGTCGCGATGAACTGGAGCGACCGGTTCTTCATAGCAATCGACGATCTGAGAGTGTAATTGCCGATGTTCGATTATATTTGTATTACCCCGGTACAGCTATTCTTGATTGTCCTGTTGGCGGAGTGCTAATATGTCATCGGTATATACTGGGTTGGGTTGCCGAGGTTGGGAACGGAGCGGAGGTTATATATTATGCCTATGTTTGTCCTGCCACTACGGAATACTTCAAAAGGATCAATGCCTATTGTACAGCTATTTTTTTAGTAAACCAACGTCTATAATTCACATACATGACAGGAGAAAGAGCCCATGAATATATATAAAGCAAGAGATCATCACCAAAGAGGCCCGACAGCAACAAGCAAAAAGAGTCTATGTATCAATATGAAGCAATAACACAAGGAGATGAGAAAAGAAGGAGACAAGTAAAAAGACAATTCATGAGAAGACAAATTCAAGAAAAATACAAGACATTTATACCGCAATCCCAAAAGACCAGGTTTAACTTAAGAGCTCTTCTGCTCCTCCTTTGCCTGGGCTTGCGAGTTGACATCCGCCTGTTGACCCTCATTGGCAGCCTCCGTTGCCTCAGCGCTCTGCGTTGAGCTATCTTCCTTGTCATCAATATCTTCCGTATCCTTGGGCGCAGCAACACCCTTCTCCTCGTTCTCGCTGTTCTGCTCGTTTTCTTCCTCGATGAGCTCTTCCTGCTCCTTGATGACCTCCAGACGCTGCTTGTTGGTGGCGGCACCTTCGGCGTTGTGCACCTCGAGCTCGATCTCGTGGTACAACTCCTCGGGGATACTGGAGAGGACGGACTGCAGGGCCTCGATCTGGGAAGACATCTCGGCCTCCTTGCCGCCCTGCGCGTACACGTATGCGTTGCTCAGAACGAGAAGGGTAGAGGGAACGCCCTGTTTGAGACGGAGGTCCAGCCACATCGACAAGTCATCGCGGAGGCGAGCGGGAGAAACGCCATGGGTGCGGATACCACGAGAAGCAGAAGCCATCTGCAATTCGGGAACGGACAGCGACTCAACGCCTTCATAGAAAATTGCGCGGTCGTCACGCTTGATCTGGCGCATACGGTGGCGGATGTTGTAACGGAGCATGGCGTCAGTACCGAACGAGTTCAGGTTCATGTACTTGCAAATTCCAACAAGCTGGGGACGAGACAGGTTGTCCAGCGTCAAGTCATCCTTGAAGATCTTGCAGACCTTGATGACATCCTGAGTCGAAGGAGACTCTCCGGTGGACCGAATCTTCCTGAAGAAGTCGGCAAACTCCTCGTTTCTGAGAGTCGTTGCAGTCACCGGGAGACCGGTCTCCTTCAATGTGTTCTTCAAGAAACTAGACACTTCCTTCCGTGTCGAGCTGAGACTAAGTGCCTTGGTCTCGCGCACCTTCGCACCCTCGTAGGTACTGGGAAGCATGTTGGGGAACAACTTCAGAGCGATGGGCAGAAGCAATTCCGCAAAGGGGATAATAATGAACATCGAGAACGGGACCAACCGACCCAAGTCCTTCGTCGTTCTTTGAAGCTGCAACCTATTAGCCGGAACCGAATGTCAGAAACCAAGTCAATGAAACCAACCTGACGGTGCTCTCTCCGAGTCAATTCATATCCCCGCGCCATCTTCAGCGCCAACCGCGAGCTAATCCTAACCTCCGTACCCAACAGCTTCGTTCCATCCCAATAATGTTGGACTTCCTTCTTAATCTTCTGCCCGATCGTCAGATTCTTCTGGTCCTTCTTCTCCGACGCCTTCTTATCCACGTCCCCGCCCTTCACCAATTCCGACTCCTTAGCATCACCATTCTTCGCAGGCGCAGGAGTTGTCTTATCCGCCTTCTGCAGGTCCTTCGTCTGCGACTCTTCCTTCTGAATCGGCTTCTTGGCCTGTTCCGCGTTGAACCCAGGGGGCGGGAAGGACTCCGACGATGTAGAATTGGATGTCGAGTGCTCGGTAGCGTACCCGCGAGTCTGAGGGACTAAGAGAGCTAGGGCTGTGACATGCGAAGGGAGGCCGCGGGCGTTGAGTCGGAGGTTCGCGGTCGATGCAGCGCCCAATGCACTGCTGGTGAGACGGGTGCGGGCTGTTTTTTTTTTTATGAAATCAAACGGTTAGCCATTGACCATCATTATGTAAAAAGGATTGAAAAAGCGCCAAGAAGCCGCATTTCGATGATAAATAGATTATGGGCCAAGCAACCCCGGGGACACCCACACGCCAGGTTCGGCCGTAATACAGCATTGCTGCGGACCAGTCTACTCGATCTCAGGGCGACGGACATGGCGGAAGTCCTGGAGATGGGATTGCTCGAAAAGGCGAGCTGAAACAGAGGGAAATAAAACAAAAATATGAAGAGTGATTAGAATAAGCAGATTTTAATGAACAACAATTCTGCAAACGTATAAATTTGGGTGAGGTGTCGTAATGCCATCGTCTTCTCCGGGACTGCACGAGGCTGTTCAATCACGTGACTCCTAGCAAAATTCGCGGTCGGAGGGAATCATATCGAAGACGGTCATGGCGCCGTTCTAGAAGCCTACGATCGCCCTGCTTATTTTGACGGTTCATTCTCACTGTATGGAGTACAGAATAGAAGCTATACACTATGAATTCGTATACAGAGTACCAACAGAGCAAGTCCAATTGCAAATCGAACTTCAAAACTGCAGGGAAAATAAAGAAAGAAAAAAAAAACGAAAAAAAAAGCAAGGGACAATGCGAGGGCATAATTCATAATTCAGTATAGGTCGTATCATATCACGCTTGCAGAAACCAGGGACAGTTTGACATTTGACAGGAAGAATTAGGGAGGGCACCCAGGAAAAGTGCCCCGGGTATCATCGTTCGACTGAAGTCGAATACATCGCTCGAGCAAAAGCCAGATCGTATATCATTTATTTCCTCTCGCGCAGAGTAGAGTCATTACCATTGACTTCTTGCGCGCCAGTCGAAGCAGTAACAGCATCCAAGGGAGGAATGCGGTCAATGCTGGCCTTGTCAGATGCAACCTGGGCGGGGGTGGCCTTTCCATTTGCATTCTGGGCCACCAACGGTGTCATGAGTGGACTGTTGACGGCTTCTGGAGAAGACTGCCAGCGTGCGACGTCTTTCTTCAGTTCTTCCAACTCCTTCTGGAACCGCTTCCCGAAGACGTCGAGATAGTATGTTGCGCCATTGTGGATACTCCAGACGAACACCGCCATCAGGAACCCAGCACTAGCCCACCGGTACCAGAACCAAAGGGGACACGGAAGCATGGTCACGAGCGCATAGGAGTACTGGATTAACATGAAAGCCACCGACTGCAGGGATTCAGGAAGGCTCAGGACGATTTTGCCAATCCAGGCATTTGCGTAGGACTTGCGAAGCCAAGTAAAGCTGGTCGGCCGGCCTGCAGCAATCTGCTCCGCACGACGTACTGTGATCAACAAGTGATAGGCTATCTGCCAGACGAGATACGGAACAGTAGCCCAGATGACCATAGCACCAAGCGAATAGTGCTCTGGTGAGCCAGGCTCGCTGTATTTGATGGCATAGATTGCTGGGAACCTCTCCTTCAGCGTTTCCGCAGAAGTCAAATGGACGAGACAGTGCAGCGAAACAGGCGGCATGATGTGGATAAAGAGACTGGAAAGCACCGTTAAAACTGATTTTTCTGAAGGCAAGTGGTGGAAACTTACCTAACGACCTTGTCCATGCTATGGAAGACCAGCGAGTTCCGCCACATTGCAATCGCAACCGCGTTGTTCCCAAACACCAAGCAGAACGTGCTGATGAACAGTCGCTTTGACCGCGGAAACACCCAGAAACTCAACATACACATCAAATTGACGAAGTAGCAGAGATCTGCCAAGAAGTAGTGGTATCCTTTCTTGTGATACCGGTAGTATCGAATCGGCATGAAGTAAATCAGTTGGACACTGAACCAGATGTAAAAGTATTCCGGATACGCCCCAACCAAGTAGCCACTAATGAAGATGTTGAGGACACCCGCGATAAATGAGATTTTCTCACGCAGGCTCACCGTCGCCGTCGCGTTCCACTGCTTCCCCAATCGCTCCACACTAACCTTCATGCGACGGCGGTACTTGTCAAGCTGTTCATCTGCCGTCGGAACGCGCCTCTTCCATTCTTTTACCACTTGGTCCTTGGCATTCATCGAAGTAGACTTCAGTTTCTCGCGCTGTTTGTTCACCCTCTCCCTCTGCGCATTGATAGCCTGCTGCCATTTCTCCAGCCGGTGTGGCAAAGAGAAGGTATCCAACAGATCGAAGATCGAAAGCTTGTCCAGCGGGGGAAAGGTCTCCCAGTCCTCCTGGTACGAGCTGCTGCCATTCGAGAACGAAGCATTGCGCGACAACGTGGGCGAGGCAGGTGGCGAGGTGGACCTGTTGCTCACAGATGCCAGATCTTCTGTATCAAAAACGGGGTCATCGTCCATTGCCGTCGCCTCCAACTCCGGAGACAGCGCAGCCACCGATGGCCCAGACTGGCGGCTCTGGAAATAACCAGTGTCCTCCATGATCAGTTTCTGCTGGAAGGAGAAAATCGTAGGACCGTCCCGGTGGTTCGGATAAGGACGACTGAGAAAGCGGCTGAACGTCAGCATCCCCATTGTCACAGGATTGATCGCCGTTCTTCTTCATACAAAAGAGAGACAAGAGACATGAGAAGAAGCAAGACGCCCTCTGGAACGAGGGCACAAAGGGTGTTCCCTGTCCATTTATCTGTTTGTTCCACCAAACCGACAAGCACACCTTCCAAGAGTCACGCAAGTCACGCACCTTTTTTTGAACCGTCAAAAGATCTCTAACAAAGTTTGGCTTCGAATCGCAAACGGCAGGTAGTCAGACACAATCCTCCAGTCTCATTCAAAACCCAGAACGCATGGTTTGTCTGGGAGCGACCAGAATCAATCAAGCCGACAACGTGCGCTCATCCAAGGCGGTGCGGCGGTCGCTGGCTGCACTGTTGGGGATGCGTGTCTTCATCGGTGTCCCTGATTGGCTAAGACAGGGATGATCCGCGACCGGGGTTTTGCCAATTAGATTAGGCAATGTTTATGCCTTGGTGCCTGCGATACGATGCATTTACAGGCGGGAAACACTTGAAGCCTTATTGATACTACAACCACTACAGCACTAACAAAAAAGGAACATTTGGAGACCTCCGCAGGCTGCAAGTGATATAAAATACTCAAAACTTCCTTGGTTACAGAACTCTAAATACCCCTCCATCGCCTTGTGCAGAGAATCGCCCATTCAAAGTAACACAGGGTTCAATGAACCTCCACTCATTCTCTGACTTGGAAAGCTCCCTCGTATAGTCCTCACTGTACCAGAGGGTAAGACTCCCACCATCTGTGTGGCCGGATGGAGAGGCATCTTCAAATTTCTCCTCCGCGGTGAGTCTCTCCAGCGTTATTCCAGATTTAGAATAGGTGGCGGCGAATGGTCGGGTATTCGATACACTGCAGCGTGTTTTACTCTTGCTGGCGAGCTAGAACACAACTAACACCGAGTACACGTTTGACTGTAAGATCCTAAGCATAACAAGCCATGGCACTTGCAATAGTGATCTGTGACAGTGAGGAGGCCACAAGGCATACTCTCTTGCTTGATGAGACTCGCTATGGACCAGCTAAACAGAGTGCCTGGATGTTACTCATCAATCGGCGCTATACAGCAAGTAGAGCTGCACAACTGCAGCCAGTGCCACCTAGTCCGCATGAGCAATGAATATATGTCAGGTACACGGTTGCAGACTTACCAGTGAGCTATCAAAACCTTCTGCAACTTTGATGTCCAATACCCTTCTCTTAGGAGGCTTGGGATACCATGTATTTGTCTGAGGAGCACATCCCAACGAACCGTTCCTCTCCTTACTCTCCCGTATATCGGCCACCTTCACGTCTCCCACAAGCAACTCCCATATATAAATCGACTCCTTGGACGCCTGTCGCACATGAACAGTAGCCTGTTTATCACCCTCATGCTTCGCCGTCTCCGCAGCAGCATTCTGCACGATCATGTCAAATTTCCCATAATGCACCGACATGGAAAATTCAACCAGGTTATCTTTCTTCCCCACCGTCCCTGGTAATCGTACTCTCAACGGTCTTGAAATCCCAATTACCCTGTACATCTCGAATAAAGGCAATCCGGAGCCATCGCGAAATTCACGACCAGACCGCTTGCCATGCTTCTTTCCTGCCACTGCGAAGACGGTCGAGCCATCTCTGTCTTTGATAATGTAGTCTTCTGGCGAATGGTCATCGCATTTTGGCTCGATGATGAGATTGGTTTCTGTTGCGACAATGTGTTCTGGTCGAATGGCGATGGGGAATGGGGGTTGTGAAACGGAGGTATTTACTTCAGTCATGATGTAAAAGTGTTTTCACAGGAAAAATAGAAATGACAATTGATATAATCAGAGTTCCTGGCCGGGTGCCATTGTTATTTAACTAAGGTTGATCTTGCACAGCCACTTGCCCGCCTTTAGCCTTAATATAAACCCCACTTTAAATGCCCTATCTCATACAACTGTATCCAAGATCACAACCCGAGGCATTTACTGGTGAGGTCATGTTGAACCACGCATATCAAAAGTGTTTCCGCCATGACTCCAGGCATTCCCAATACAGTCACGTCAAATTCAAGAAACATAAGAAAATAAAACACAAGCCACACACACACTATGGCCCTCGCAGCATTCCCTCGGGAGCTTATTGTTTCAATATTTGAACAGCTCGAAGAATGCGATATCAACGCTCTATTTCAAACAAATGCTCATTTGTACGACCTGTTGAGTGAGGTATTATACCAGCAGCATGTCAATGACTCGCAGGGCGCAGGGGCGTGACGGGCTATTGATCAGGGGGATACAGATGCTCTTATGAAGTTCATCGCATACGGGCTGAATCTTCATGCTTGTGGACAGCCGTCGAATTTCGCTGTGAACAAGGCGCTCCTCGATATTGACAGTGTAGCGGGCCACGAAGAAAGTGAGACACAGAGAGAAGGGGAAAAAAAAAAGACAAGGAAAAAGACAGGGAAAAAGACAAAGGGAAAGGGAAAAACGAAGACGAAGATGAAGACGAAGAATGGGAAGAAATAGAATACGCGGAAGAGGCGAAATAAGAGAAAAAGAAAAGAGAAGACGAAGAGAAAACGGAAGGGCAACCAGAGCCTGAAGAGGAGCCCGAAGAGGAGAAGGAGGAGAAGGAGGAGAAGGAGGAGGAGGAGGAGGAAAGCCTTTTTCTTCGATATCATGATGAGACATTAGAATTCCCCAAAGTAAGTCACTAATCCAATTGTCACACGAGAAAAGCTAACAAATGTACACAGCAAATGCCCCCGTCCCACGATAACCAATGTCAACATGAACCTCTACCTCAACCAGAGCCGCTTATATGCTACGCTGCGAAGAATGGCAACGTGTCTATAATGCAGACTCTTCTTGCACATGGCGTATACCCAGACATTCGTAACAAGAAGGGAGAAATGCCATTAATAATCGCATCCAGAGAAAGACATGAAGATAACATAGTTATTGCTATATGAAGGTGCGTTGTGAATGCTTTGGACAGCACCCAAAACAGCGCAACTTCATATGCTGTAGAAAAGGATCACTTGGAGATCATTACAGTTATTATGGAGCATTGAGGAACCATTCCTTGAGCAGTGTGTGGGTGATCCATGCTAAGAAAGCCTGGTCTTTGATACAGTTTGAAGAGGTATGTTTGCTTTTGGAAGCCCGTTGCTCATCGTTGGATATATCATACAGATACTGGGTTCGATATACACTATCACCGTTCTATTGCTATATACATAATTCTACTAACTTGATTTAGTTATTTATTTAATAAAAAGCCGACTCTGTATACTCCGTAGCAGATGAACGATTAGGGCTAATGATGTGATTTAGATTTATCACGTACTACACTTTGCATAATACTTACTATTCCACACATAGATAATTCGCATATCATTGAAGAATTAGAAGAGGCAGGAGAAAGCAATAAGTGAAGACGAAGATAGAAAACGATAGCAGCAGAAAATCAGTAGTCAATAAAAGTAGATCAAAAAAAAAAAAAAAAAAAAAAAAAAGAAAGCCATGGTACCAGTATCGGTTTTTGCCTTGGCCTAACAAGCTCACTTATAATAGACAGGCGTAGCTGCCTTAGCTATTCTTCATAGTGTGTGAGCCTCCTTCATAGGCTTGAAATCACGGTGTCGTGTCGAGTCGTGTGTCGGCGGTAAATGTTAGACATCCGGGTCTTGTCAGGCGGTCATTCCCTCCTTTCCTCCCTCCTTCTTTTCCGATTCCTCCCAATTTTCTCTTCTTCAAGGTATCTCTGCATTTATCATCTTTATTTTTATCATCAAAGCTACAGTGACAGAATATGACATCCTATACCCTGAAGGAGGCTGTCGAGCCGGGTGACCTCATCATGGTCTGGGCTCCTGGTAAAGCCGAAATGCTCCTCGTCGGATTCACTGGCAGCGAGACTACTTCAGCCGTATTCTCAGTTATAGCGAAGATCATATAACGCATTCCAATAGAAAGAGGATACTGGACGTTAAATGGGCCGTTTATAAAATACTGGGAAGAGGGCAAGTCGAAGATGGATGAAGACAAAGAGAAAAACAAAGATGACAAAGACGACACTAGTAACTACCAAGAGATCAGCCTGGATTTCGTTTTCCAAAAGTATAAGTCCACTGATGCAGATGAAAGTGTTTCGTGCATCTGCATGGACTGTGAGTTTTGCTACCCTTACTCACGCCTGTTGTATCCGTTCTGACCCCCAATACTGTGAATACTGCAGAGATGTTCTTCAATGCTACTTTGGCAAAAAGAGCCCTGAATGTTGCGGAAACCCATTATCTGTCCCAGGTGTGGTGGTGTCAGTATGCAATATATAGAACACTTTGGTTGCTGTTCACTCAAGTTTACATGCCTCCACTGCATGGGATACGACTTCTCGCTTGATGACAATGAGATAAATAAATACCAATCAGAGCTTGCAGGCCCGATTTTCAATATAGAAGATGCAGTACCTTCGTCCGAGGAGGATTTGGAGCGGCTGAATGAGGGTTTAGACCCGGCTGCAGAGTAAACCGATTTTAAAAAAAATACAGACATGAGCTATAAAAGGATTCACAAGCTAAGTAATTATTGTATACAATCATCAGTTATTGTCAGTTATGGAATTTCGTAGCCAATTACTTAGTGCCTTTCAATTTCTTGGACAGCGCCTCCTTAATCTCGTCCATCCACTCTCTCATCCCCTCTGCCATTTTGTCTAGGTTGTCAATGGGATAGTCCATTTCCTTCCTCCGCGGATTGACGAGCAATTGGTCGCATTTTCCTTGTGGCTATTTCAATGTTGTAGACAGGCAGGCTAAAACAACAGTAGAAGGCTCATACTTTGATCACTATGGTTGCCTGGATTTTTCTCCAACCACTTCTCTTCATATACCTGCTATCTCATTCAGAATTAATAAATTCAAAGCAACGGAAATAGCACTGACAATGTCTTACAGTTTAGAGCAGACCGCCGAACCGGAAGACCTTATCCTTGTCTGTGCTCCTGATAAACAATCAACCGTACTCTTTGTCAAGTCTATCGCCAACGATGAGGAGGCTAGCGCAGACCCACTTTCCATCAAAGTGGTGTACGTCCATAACCGCATCCAGTCGAGCCTGGATATTGGATGCGGATGCTGGACGGCCTTCGTGCTACACAGTTCTAACACGCGATTGGCATGGTCTAAATGGCGCGCTGTGAAGAAGAAAAAGAATGTGCCGATGGAGGCTCAGGCCATCTTCTGGCTAACCAGGAAGATAAACTCTAGGACATTATCTCCTGTGTTTCTGATCTGGGTGGTATGAGTTGCCAACGCTGCTGCAATATGTCTCTGTAATTCTAAGCCTAATTGGCTTTGAGAATTCACCAGTTAGGGATGTTGGAGGGTATCCTGTGGCCGGAGTGGGCAATCGCTGGTCCATAAGGGGGGGAAAAGGAATTGGAGTCCTTTTTCTTGGTGTTTCTGTACTTGGGCTCCCGTAGGTCAGCTTCATTATAGATCTAGCATGCTAGCAATACCAGCCCAAGCCTAGCATCCCCCATTTCCCACTTGACACATCACGTTATATGCAAACAACACAAACAGAGCATACTGTAAGTAAAATGGCCAGCCTCATCGAGCGTCGAACCGCCTACTGTACAAGCTTATGAAAAGTGAAGATCTATAGAAAATGTCGCTAGCAATAAATTACAGAAGAAATTTTTCTTGCGACATCTGCTATGAGACTTATGACAATGAAATCAAGCTATGGGACACAGCCTCTGGGGCACTAAAGCATAACCATGGCCATTCAGGTCGTGCCAAGATCATGCGATTCCTACCAGATGGCCGACTGGCTGCTTTGGGCTCTAGTGATCATATAGTCAAGCCCTGGTCTGCAGAGACAGGGCGAAAATTGCAGCAACACATTTTGGAAGGCCACTCAAAATGGGTTACAAGTGTAGCATTCTCACCAGATGGGAAGTTGGTAGTTTCTAGCTCTATTGACCATACAGTCAAGCTTCAGGATGCTACTTTCAAGCCGGGGATCCTGCATATTATAGAGGACACTCCCTATTAGTTCAATGTGTGGTTTTCTCACCAGACGGCGAGCTAGTAGCATCCGGCTCAAATGACTGTACCGTCAAGTTGTGGAACAGGTCTACGAGAGCGCTAAAATGTATCCTAAAAGGTCATTCATTCCCAGTCCAGAGTGTCATGTTTTCACCGGACGGCAGGTTATAGTATCTGGCTCTGATGACCATACGATCAAGTTATGGGATACGACTACGGGAGCGTTGTCGCACACCATTCCTATTAATGATGCTGTAAGTGACATGTCGTTTTCACGACGTGGTCCGTTTATTGACTCGAATGTGGGCTCCTTCAATATTCAGATGTGGTATAATGAGAATTATGGCTCGGGTCTTTCTCAGGTAGATACTGTAATTTCGGTCGACGGCCAGTGGGTAACACTTCATCATGAAGGGATCTTGTGGCTTCCACCAGAATATCGACCTGGCCGCTCTACAGCCCATGGTGAGATGGACATTATCGGGGATAAATTTGGATTAGTCTCTGCGATGGAGTTTTTCTTTGGGGGGCAGTCACAATTGGTCCCATGAAGAGGCAGCTTTGTGGCGCGGGAAAGATACATTAATCAATTATGCTTTTTTGTTTTAAGATAATGGACCTATTAAATATTATCCTGCCTTTACAGCAGTTCATTATAAGCACTCGTCATATATACTGTTTCATCACAACAAGACACCCGAGAACGTAAGAAGGCGACATCAAGATTCCAATTCAAATCTCTGTTGTTGCAACTGGGACTCAGTCCTCAGGTCGCTTGGAACTTCCACAGGGGTCCGTGGCTTGCTACCCGGAACTTCCACTGGAGCCGTGGGCTCTGGATATTGAGCAGTTGCGTCTTGTGTTGGAATCGGAGCATGGCTCATCGGCGTCCAGGGTGGGGGCATATTAGATCCAGGAGCCATGTTTGCGAGCTGACGGCGGATATACCATATTATGATTGCCATACATATGAGAAAAGTACAACCAAGCCCAACTCCAAGGCCAATTCCCAATCTTGCTTCTGAATGTAACCCGCTGCTAGCGGAGTAGTCGGACCCTATAGGGGGTTTTATGCTTGAGGTAACTGAAGCACTCGTGAATGTGCTCAATGTTGCCGATGGGGCCGTCGATATTGCCCTGGTTGGTGTTATTGATACTGTGCTCGTACTCGTACTCGTGCTAGTACGAGTACTAGTACTGCTTGCTTTGTTGCGAGCACTACCCTCTGTGATGTTGAAGTATCTGCTGACGAAATAATTGGCTGGAACATTGGTGTAGTTATCCGCATCTATCATCTGAAAAAAGAAGGCGTGCCCATCTGCTAGACTGAGACTGGTCGTGACCTTCCATTGGTACTTTCCATTTCCTTTTAGATTATCTGTGGTGTTGCGTTAGAGAATGCAGAAGAGGAGACGAACTGGCAGACGTACTCGACAGAAATTCATATTTTTTGCTTTCATCTTGCCAGAGCACCAGGTCGAAGCCTCGGTTTGCGTTATTCGTTTCCCATTGTATTATCATCAGATCGTTAGGTTCAAATTTCTCATTCTTAGAGTAATCGTGGTTTACAATTCCTTGTGAAGGTCTAATGAAAAGTCCAGGAGACTTCCCAACGGTGGGTTGAAGCAGCAATGTGAGAACTAGAAAGAGCCGCAACATTTTCATGATGGAAACGACCAAGCGATAGCATGATGCTATCTTTATTGAAGCAATGTTCGATCAGGCTATCAAAGAGGAGAAAACGTAAGAGCCTTAGAGACTCGTTTTTCGTTATTAGCAATGCCACACAATCGTTTTGAATTGGTCTCATAATACGGTACACTCAATTGCAAAAATGACCAAACATCCGCTTTCCATAAGCCTTGGCATCGCGGAGTGCAGGGGTTTGGTTATTTGGCAAGCTGACTGTATCTGTTGAAGATATGATGCTTTACCATTTCTGACCAAGCCATGTCTGCTGCCGTTTTGAACCGGTAGCCTAGCACTGTATGAAGCCATCACCTGCATATAGAAGAGGGGAAGTCATCATGTCAATACTCGCCGCCTTGCTGTGTATATGGTCCCAGAGTGTCCGATCGATAATAACACTGTTGGGGGTATACTGCTCTAAAAAAAAAAAAAAAAAAAAAAAAAAAAAAAAAAAAAAAACGAAAAGGAAAAAGAAAAAGGGAAAAGAGAAAATCTTCAGAGGCTATAAACGCGAATCATAACAAGAATGAAGCCCACTGATACCACGAAATCGAGCAATCTGAGGCTGTGAGTAGTGCAGAGACCTTGGTGAACATTCATATCAATTTAGCCCAAGAGAAACATGACCTCGGTTTTTCAGGATCACAGAGAATAGAGCATAGTTAGCTTTGAAGCGTGACGCTATCGATTAAAACAGCATGGATTTTACTATTCCTTAACTGCAACCACAGCATTAGCAGGACATCACCGATTTCCTTTTTTTTTCCCTTCTGTATTCCTGAGCGCACTGGGTTACACACTACCATATAATGGAAGAGGAACCTATGTTCCCTGGATTTGAACGAGTCATGGGTAACTCCATGTCCTTAGAACGCAATGTGGAGCAACATCATATCTTTTGGCCCATGCTACAAGAAATCTTAACCTACAACGCGGAGACTTGGCCAGCGTACTATCAGGTGACTGTCTTACAGCATCTGATTAAGGCCATGGCTCCAAGTTTCCATCAGCATCTCAGACAGAAAATATCAGTCTCGTCGCGATGGAGACCTTTAATGGGCCTGCTCTGCTGAAGGCCTGCAAAGCTTGAGAGGCCGAGGCTGGTAAGCAGAACAAGGTAAAGTGCCTGTCCTAAGACATTAGGACTGAGGGATTGACCAAGCTGAGGATTGAGATGCTTCGGCACAGATCTTCGGGTTATGTTTGCTTTACTGTCCAGGAAATAAGTGAGGAGCGTTTCGTTGTATCGAGGGAAACCACGTATGATGTTGTAATATGGATTGTTGAGGGGAAGCTTGATAAGTTCCGTTTCGTACATTATTGGATGATTGCTGCTGCTGGAACATTATTGGCCATTAGCTGTACTTTAATACTTCACCTTTATTAACCAATTAGAATACTGAATAAAAGAGTAAGCTCTTGACTAGGTTACTGGCAATAGAAAGAGCAACCCTAAGTGATAGGTGGTTTACTGAAGACCAAGAAATGAGAGCAATCGTTTCTCATTACATCCATTCCTTTTCGCATATTCTCTTCTCAGATATAGCTACTACCTAGGTCCCCATTAGTGCATACGGCATCTTAACACTTGCAATGCAAGTCCTAGTACAGTGCCTATACAAATCAAATCCGACTCAGAGCTCCATCACTCATTGATTGACCCCAGTAACCAAAACCTGCACCTTGAAGTTCCCACTCTCCGGATACGGAATTGAGAAATCGCGCACGAACTCTATATCCTTCTTTGTTGTTTCATACAGTTCCATATCGAAGCGTCGCATTAGCGTAGCAAGGACTATAAACAACTCCGCATAGGCTAGGCTGTATATTCGTTAGCATAGGTTTACGAAATCGGTGGGTAGGTAGGTAGATGTATCTGCTCACTTCAACCCCTGACAAATACGGCTTCCGCGCGAGAAAATCACGAAATAGCGATCTAATCGCTCTCCATTGGCAGCGGCTCGGATCCATCGCTCTGGGTCGAATACGTGTGGGTCGGGGAAGATGTCGGGGTCCATGAGAACGAAATTGTTTATTTGGCTGACTGGGGTCTGGATTCTGTTAGTCTATATTTTTTTGACATTCGTGAAAGAAGGGGAGTATACCCCAGGTGGTATGGTGTAGTCCTTGTACACAAGTGTCTCGGTAGGAGCGATTCTAGGGAATCGACTTGAGAACCCTGTTGAAAGACGGAGGGTCTCGGTGATGACTGCGGACTGAATTATCGTTAGAATGACCGGGCGTCAAATAAGATAACCGATGCTTACCAGATACGGTAATTTCTCTAAATCATTCCAAGTTGGTCGCACGTCCGGTGTGGGCATGAACCGCTTCAGCTCCTCGCAGAGTTTGTTCCGGATATCGTCTCTTGAGAGCAGGTGATATGTTGCAAGAGAAAGCGCTCTAGCAGTCGTCTCCGTTCCAGCATTTGCTAAGCCGAGCTCCTCATTCATAAGTCGTTCAGGCGTGCGCAGGTGCTGCGGCATTTTCGGCCCAGCAAGTGTGCTGAGAATGGTATTCTGTTTGACACTCGAGGGGTCTTGAATGGCATCGAGACTCAATTGATACATACGACTCTTCTGGTCGACAAGAGCAGCCGCAGTGGGACTCAACCATCGTAGGACATCCGTCGGCAATGCGTTCACAATTTTCCAGAGGAATGGGAAAAAGTACATTATATGGCACACCGTGAAAAGACCATTAATTCCGTCCCTTACATGTGCATTGAAACCCTCTTGGTCCAAGTTTCCGGAATCGTGTCCAAATATATAAGACTCGATTACATCGGCCGTCAACCCGGCATATCCAGCGTCGATGTTGATCACCTTGTGTGAGGAATAGGCTTTTTGAAGTTGAAAGCAGATTTTTTCAAGTCGCTTATAGATCGAATCCTCCATATTTGATATGGCCCGTTTTGAAAAGAACTTCTCCAACGGTGCACGGCGCTCGCGATGGGCCTCCGGGCTAACACTGGAGAATGCCGATCCGTCTGCTCCAAATTGAGCGAGCCAGGGAGCATCTCTTTGGCGTTGTCGGGTGCTCCGGGGGAATATTTCCTCGTAGTATTCCGGATCTTTGATGTGTATCTCACGGGGATTGATGCGGATGATCGGTCCTATATGGATTTTATATTAGTCCTAGCGGACAACGGGTGCGCGCGCCATCACTGACCGTATATTTGGTGCAACCGTTCAATCTCCCAAACATACATTCCTCGCTTTATGACATTGTAATAGAACTCGTAGCCATGTGTAATGGCTGCCAGCTTGGGCCCGGGAATTTTTCTCAGTGGATGGAAGTATAGCCGGTATACGCTCCGGAGGAGAATATAGGCCAAAAACCCTAAACCCAATGCCGCAAAATGGACCATCTCGACAATGCAGTATAGTAAGAAGAAGGTATTCTACAAAATGAATAGAAGCCATATTTTAGATTGTGGGAAGTGTGAGTATTTTAACACACGAAGACCCCTGTCTTCACCACTCGCACGACTAACCCCGCTTTAAATTAACACAGGTCTAGGCGTCTGGAACCGCAACATTGATCGAATCATTTCAAGGGTGAAAATAATTAGCTACGTGATAGTATGCATGGCCGTTGAACAATCCGGCGCATGTAATCTGAATGTGCAGTAGTACTTCCAGGAAGATAAAGTGATTGGCGAGGCCAGTCCCGCGCATGCTGGGGTCTTCTCATATTCTGGTTTCTGATAAGTCCACTCGGTCCTTTTCCCTTTCCTGTTCACTGATCGGCATGATCTCGCTTCAGCGCTTTCTCCGCTCGCCGTGCTGCGTGAGCGAGCATTGTTTGCATACCCAGGATAGCGTAACGCCTGATTTGCTAAAGTGACTCCCAGCCCCTCATGGCAATGTTAAGATACAGACCCCGCATTAAGCCAATGTCAAAGATACTATGTGGGAGTTATATTGCAAGATGCTCGTTGTGGATGGAGATAACTGGTATTAAAAGGGTCGTCTTGACAGCCATTCAGCGTGGCAGAAGCTGTGACATCCTCACATTGACTACACCAGCTCATCGAATCAAACAACGGCCACGTGCAGTTTCCAGAAGGGCAGGATGGAGTTACGGGAAATTCATCTTGTCCAGACACCGGGATTGATAGCCGTGGGTCAACTGTCAGGTGGCTCTTGGTCTTCTTTTAAACCAATGAAGAATGACACAGACCGTTTAGCCGCTGCATGGCTAATAGCAATTGAAACCATTCGGAGGCGATAATTGAGCATTTGCTTCATGAACGGATCGAATGTAAGAGCCAAGATGGTAATTGCCGCTCCAAGAGAGACTGGCGAGGGCCCTTCATGTCCGAAGAAGATTGTAAATAATCCGAGATGGCCACAGCTAGCATTATCAGATTATTGTATATATTGGTGTGACCTTTTCCCTTGTCAGAAACACGCCCGCTTCAGCTGCCCAATCGACACAGCGATCAAAAAGAGCAGCGCCGGTTTTGATGCTGTCGAGAGGATGGAGATGATTGTATTCAGAGTCAATCTGTATGGAAAGCTGGGGGATGACCTCTGATCATATGCCCGCAGAACACAAATGATAGCGAACAAACACACAAAGTTAAAGTAAATTGCAGGAACCTCGCTAAATCATGTATCGAGGATCAAGCGATTCCAACGTGTTGCCCGTACCAATCCCTGCACGGTCGCTAGCTTCAAGGCTAGTTTGGGAAGCATGCTTATCTGTTTCTCTCTTGCTTTTGATCCAGACTAATTCGCGAAGCATATTGGCTTGGTGCGCAGTCTTCCCAGAATGCATTCACACCTTGGAATCGAGAAAAAGCGAGAGCGAGCGGGAAAGCCTCGGGATAAGCAACGACAAGCAGCTGCTTTTAATTTCGCGGCTTCATTCCGAGGGGAGACTAGGAATAACATCTCATGGTTGATCATGTCTTTAGCGGGTTGGGTTCTATTTACTCCAATCATCTGCAAGTCGTTATTCCAGCGTATCCGAAGCCGCGACACCTTGGATCTAGCAGAGACCAAGCGGGAAGATGGTAAAGTTTCCAATATGTCGCCGTTCAAAGCGCTGACTTTCGGGTATTGATGAATTGACCAGGATTGGACCTGCGACGAGCTGTTACGCATGGCAATTCTTCATGATTCCCGGCTAATTATCGTGGAATTCATGGGTACGCCACGATCTTGCGGCTAGCGATTTATTAGCACTTAGCAGTGTTGTATAAGCAATTGGGATAATGACCTTTGATGGTCTCGCTCCGTCGCGGTCTGCTCGCCATGTCAGTGTAGATGCTCAGCGATCCCAGGAACCAGAAGATGTATTTTAACCAAGAGCAACTTGAGTCCGTGCCGTGTGGGCGACATACAGACTATGGTCATTAAATCGGGCTTCCGCTGGTTGACCCAGCATAACGGCGAGATGTGAGTGGTGGTTCTACTTCATATTCAGCGCATGCAAAGGACAACTTGACAACTGGTAGGAAATGGGCTGTAGTAATCGGATGAGAAAAACACCTGAAAGGAGCATGACGGTACGTCTTTGGGATCGTTGCGACAGTTATATAAGATGTCGTTAGCTTAAGCTAATACCAGCATAGGTACCTTGATCTAACCTTCGATCGCATTAAAACTCGGAGATTGGCAGGGGCCGTTTAGTAACGGAGGATGCCGTCCGTGGCTTGTAAAGATTCGTGACTTTTGGAGAATCGTGGATAGTTGAGCAAATAGAGTTGCTATTTCCGAAGGTGATGACGATCGAAAAAGACCCGAGATTTTAAAAGACCGGCCACGATCTCGAAACGCACACTTTACCGTCTCACCGCTGCATGATCGGTGGCGATGTTTCGAACTATATCCCCAGAATTGTGCTTGCGTGTCGATACATATGCATCCGGCTTTACGCATTCCTGAAACTTGCAAGCACATATAAGGGGTTGTCGTCCTTCGTCCGCCTGCAGCAATTCAGCTATTACTCTCAAAATACAGACATTATGGCAGACATTACATCCGGCCCTACCATTCCCATTCCTGAAACCAATTATCTTTCCTATATTTTCGAGGGGCCCTACAATGAAAAGAAAGCATGGCCATCAACAGAGCCAATCCTGGTATCTACTGAAGAGGCAGACCCTTCTTACACCATCGATAACATCAAAGACTTCGCCAAGCGTCTAGGATGTGGTCTTCATCATATCGGGGCACGAGGAAAGCGGGTCATGCTCTATGGCGAGGCAAATATACATTTCCCCCTTGCTCTCCTGGGGGTTATGGCAGCAGGTTCTGCGTGCGCTATTATTCCACCTTCTTCCGTACACCACATCGCATTCTATCTGCGACAGATGGAGGCCGGGTTCATTCTTTGCGGTCCCAATGACGTACCGCGAACGTGTGATGCCGCAAGTCAAGTGGGGATCCCTCCAGAGCATGTTTTTGTCGTGGACAGATCGGTTTCCGATATCGGCTCCACCAATGAGCAACAGGTACGGCATTGGAGCTGGCTCTTGAGCGCCCCTGGAGGCAGTGAGTACGTCTGGCCACGTCTTGGGGAGGAGAGTAAAAATGCCGAAGCAGTCTTATTATGTACATCAGAGTATGTCGCCACACGGGCATTTTATTCATACGCAAACTAAACGCGGAAAACTACGACATTAGAACGACAGGAAACCCTAAGCTGGCAGTCCGGACACATTATAACCTCGTTGCCAATGCGGAGTCTGTGTTATACAATCGCAGTCGCGAATTGAAGGATGTGAAAGATACGCTATTCTGTGCTTTCAAGTTCTACGGGGTTGGATTCATCACACATGCCCTGCTGGTATCACTCAAAGCACGCACCAGGACCATTTTCATGCCCAATTTTGAGATGCAGACTTGGTTTCGAACAATACACCGACTTCGTCCTACCTTATTGATGATTCCAAAGCACGTTTTGAATGAACTGGTTATGTTCAAGGACGACGATAAACCTGATCTCTCCAGTGTGAAGTGTGTGATCACCGGAGCTGCAACAATCTCTTTAACATTACGCAATGCTTGGGCTGAAAAATATGGAAATCCCCTCTTCTCCGTAATGGGAATGACCGAGTAAGACATCTCAGATACTCTCCAGACTAATCAACAAATTTCGGGGGCTAACACGAAAGAAGACTTGGATTCGTCACTGGGGAGGAACTTGGCTTGCCTCGAATAAATGATACCGTCGGGAAGTTGCTACCTAACGTACAAGTAAAGGTTGTCGATGGAAAAGGTCAATTCCTCAAACGTGGTCAGCAAGGAGAGCTGTGGTATTCGTATCCTGGAATTATGAAATGCTATTGCAACGAGCCTGAGAAGACGGCGCTCACTGTAACGGAAGATGGTTGGCTCAAGTCGGGCGATATTTGCTCTATTGATAAAGAGGGCTATTTGTACGTTGCTGGTCGATCTAAGGTTTGCTTTCAGTTCCCCATTCATTCTTATAAATTACTGAACAATTCTAACAGGACATGTTTAAACTAAACGGGTCGGACATCTCTGGTGCGCAAATAGAAGGAGGCATTATACTCCATCCGGATGTAAAGGAAGCTAGTGTAGTTCCTGTCACACTGTCAGTCCACATGTCTACAACAGTTAGATCAGTACTCATACTCACATTTCCTTCTAAACCATTCAGTCCCGGCGAAGAAGAACCAGCACCCTACGGGTTTATCGTGAAAAAGCCTGGGTCCAGCCTTACCATCGACGAGTTTATGCAATGGATAGCACAAGAGCTAACAGCAAATATGAAGTTGTACGGTGGTGTCTCATTTATGCACGCTCTTCCTTTATCCACTGTAAGTCCCGAAATATGCATGTTTCATATCTGATTTTGTCTGACAAGAGTGACAGTCTGGGAATACGAAGACGGATCAGCAAGCCCTGAAGAAGATGGCACAGGCGGAAGTTGATACTCGATACAAATCGAAGAAGGATAGTTAGGGATCATCACAAACAATTATTAGTTATCCTATATGCCCCTATCCAGACATCCAAGTCAACTTTTCAGGCATAATAGAAGGCAACCATAAAATAATAACTTTATGACGTCTTTAAAAATATATATATATATTTCCCCCTTAAACACAGCAGGAAAGATGTCGCACGCTTTGAGAAGGACCCAATCCCAAGCGTCCGAGGGATACTTATGCGTCTGGAAGCATTCGACTTCCTTGTGATCTGGCCTACAATATCATTCAGGCCGAAAGAAGAACAAGAACAAACCATCAATCAAGTGATGACAGCAATCCAGCACACAAAGATGGTTTCTCAAACGAGGCCTTTCGAGCTGGTGGGCCATACCTCTGCATGATGCCGACACCCACCTCTCTCGCTCCCAAAAGCCATCCTGCGTTCAGGGTTATTGAGACGAACGATTCCGATTCGTTAGCGAAATATTTGATTCCTCTCCAATAGTGGTATTAACTCCACCAAGATGGTCGGCTTCTTCTATGAGCAGTCGAGATACGAGCCCGAGTCCGAGCCTATTCTAACTCCGAGCATCCTGGCCACAAGGGAGGCTTTCGGTGTTTTGTGGCACGATGTGAGTAGGGAAATTTTTGGTTACCAAGGCGGCGATTCCGATTCTAAATTGTGATCTTACCTGGCTAGAATGATATAGATCCGCTATATCAAATTTTTATAGTTCCGCGGGCGTAATGGGAAATGGAAGAAGTATGGAGAAGATTCTCTATCAAATCTGTTAAAACCTATGCCCGCAGGGAAAGCATCCACTACTTTTATTTGACTCGGTACCAATCATTTGGTACTATAGAGTCTAAGTATACTTTCTTTACTGGGGTCACAGGGAGCCGCGACGTAATGCTCTCCAACAACTATATCATATCAGCCATATCGAATTAAAATCAAGCAATCAAAGTACAGGCGCTTTGGTTGGCTCTATTCGTTCTGACTTGTGGTAAGTATGCACCATTCAATCTCGCCACAGGACCACTGGGTTAGGTGTCGAGCGTTGGAGGACAATCTCAGTGGTAGCCTCGATGGTACGGTGTCATATCCGAGGTCCTCAAGATCCGGACTTGGCTTTGGAAGATTTCTCTCGAGCCAATTGGTGGTAGAAAAGCAAGCATGAAGCGATAGGCGCCACGCATGGGAAAAACGAATGGGGTCAGAATTATACCCCTAAAAAATAAAAAGACCCATTGGGGATACCAGGCAGCTGACATTGAGAATTGATTCATTTCAAGTACACTCCAGAAAAGCATCACTATCAGGATATCTATTTGGCTAGTATGAGAAGGCTTGAGCTTACCGCTACCTAGGACAAGGGGAGAAATGTAAAGGCAAGGACATTCAATTGCACCACTGCCTGACCTTGAGCCATTGCATCAATGTTCAGTATCTGTTTCGGAAGCTAGTTAGCGCGATCTGATTTGTTGAAAAGCGTGGATGCTACCAGGCTCCTCATGTTTTCAAGCTGCTGTAGGATGACTTGAGAGGTTTCCTCGTGGTAAGTTATGTCCTCGAGATGTTCCCATTATCTTTCTATAAGATCTTCCATACCATTGGCCATCAAATAGAATTGAATCGGACTTTGTCTGTTTCTGAGATGCAATGTGTTTGCTCAGACAACTGTTTCATATTGTGAAGTCATACTCGACATTGGTAGCCATGGTTAATGTATTGTAGCTGGCAAGGTATGAGTGACTGTTGCAGGCGTTTATATACTCTGCGCTCATAGTCAACTTTTTTGCGAACCTGAAATTCTATTAGCAAACTGACAGGAACGATTGGGAGTATAAATCACATAGCCTCCCATCCTGATATGCTGATCGCTCAGCCTCGCTCGGTTGAGACCATGGCACCGAATTGAAATGGTAGTCAATATATTATATTATGCTAGTTGGAATGTTAAACAATGATCCGTCTATGCTATAATTACATGTAAATAGCTCTCATGCATGCCTCAGAAACCTCAGAACCCGTATACCGCGAATGCAAAAAAAAAA